TTGGATTCTCGTCGTGGGTATCATTACAAATTCTTCTGCAATGGCAATATGGGAGTTTCCCAAAATTAGGGGATCCGAATGTAGTACCCTAAGTAGTAGGATCCTTATTATAAGGACCCAGAATAAGGTACCCCTACTTGTCGGAAACTCCCATATGATCCCTGAGCCCTAATGGCCCTGAATAGTCGGTATTTGGGGTATATTCGAGGGTAGTTGGGGTGGTCTAGGTAAGCCCTAAGTGAATGGTTAAGGCTTTGAGTTGGGATTCGTGGCAATCTCAGCCCTCCTAAAATCCTAACAGAAAGAAGACAGGACCCTGTAAAGCAACTTCTAGGAATGCTTCACCTCTCAACCCTCGATGTTATCTGGGGTTGAAACCAGTGGCTCCTAGCATTAGCCTTAACCCTGGGACCCGAATATACCGACTATCTACGTTATATGTGCCCTTACTTAGAGGATCATGGGACTTAGTAAGTAGGTTATAAATGGGGATATACGTCCCCTAAGTGGGGTTATCCTAATTACAACCTACTTATAACCTTACTTACTAAGTCCCATGAGCCTTCAAGTACGGGTCGCTAGAATTCCCTTCAAAGGCCTCAGGGTCATTGAGGGGCCCATACTCCTATCCCTAGTTGCCAGAATCCCTCTGGAAACCCGTAAGAAACCCTTACAGCACACTTATAGAAACCCAATACCTTAAACCCTCAAACTACACCACTAACCCCAAACCCTATAGTAGTAGCACCCTTATACACTCACTGGCCCAAAACCCAAGTAAATAAAAGTTAAAATCAGGATCGACTACCTTATAAGAACCCCCAAAGTTGAAAAGTTGAGTTTACAGCCAATAAGAACCAGTACGGTAGGCCTAAACCCTAAACCCTGAACCCCTGAACCCTAAACCCTAAGAGCCCTAAACCCTAAGAACCCTATAAGTAGAAAACCCTATAGAAACCTCGGCCATGTGCCCCCAAGCAAAGTCCTGGAGGAGCGTTTCGGCCTCAGCTCAAGGTGAAATCTTCAGGATTTAGGAGTTTGGAGTTTGGGGTTTTGTCTTTAGGGTCTAGGCTTTAGGCTTTAGGAGTTTGGAGTTCATGGTTTTGTCTTTTGGGCTCAGGGTTTAGGGTTCAGGATTTAGGAGTTTGTGGGTTCAGGAGTTGAGGGTTTAGGGTGCTTGGCCTCGGACTTTTGGAGTTCAGGGCTTTGTCGTTTGGTTTCGGGTTTAGGGTTTAGGGTTTCGGGTTTCGGGTTTAGGGTTTCGGGTTTAGGGTTTAGGGTTTCGGGTTTAGGGTTTAGGGTTTCGGGTTTCGGGTTTAGGGTTTCGGGTTTCGGGTTTCGGGTTTAGGGTTTCGGGTTTAGGGTTTAGGGTTTAGGGTGTAGGGTTTAGGCTCTAGGGTTTAGGGTTTAGGGCCTCTCCTACACCGTCTATTGTCTCCCCCATGCCCTCTGTTGAGGACCGTAAGGAGCTCTTGAAAGGAACCTTGGGGGGGCGTCCTGGTTGGGGTTGAGGTTCAGGCAGGGTTACTAAACCTTAAACCCTAAAACCCCTAAAATCCCCGAAACCCCAAACTCATTAAACCCTAAACCCTAAGACACCCTAAGCTTTCAGTGCGGCGGCCTATTCCGAAACCGGGCCTAGGATATCGGGTTTTTGGGCCTCTTTAAGGGTTCGTCGTTGAAGGGATCCGAGAAGGTTCTATAGCGGCGTTGAAGGGATTAGGGGTTTAGGGTCTGATGGCTCCTTAACCCCAAGCAACCTACCTTTTTAAAGACTTATATAAAGAAATCATACTAGGGAACCCCCAAAAAAGTAGGTTCCTTAGGGTTGGGCTGTTGGGGTTTAGGGTCGAGGGCAGTCAGGTCTGGCGAGGCCAAGGGGGCGACTGTTGCGGAGTTTTAAGCCGAAGTCGGGTTTTAGGGTTTAGGGTTTAGGGTTTAGGATTTAGGGTTTAGGGTTTAGGATTTAGGGTTTAGGGTTTAGGGTTTTAAGCCAAAGTTGGGTTTAGGGTTTGGGTTGTACCGCTCGTCTTATCACCGACAGATTGTAACCCTGACAATCTGCAGGTGTTGTGAAACGGATGGAACATACTGCACTATGACCATCGCATTTGGTCTACAGGGGAAACCGGGGAAACCAGATCAAGGCGTTCGATCAAACTACCTATGACTAGTTGTTTCTTCGGTCATCTTAAGATGGGTCAGTTGTCTCAATGTTTCCAAGCTGTCCTATCCGGTTTCCACGTTACAAACACAAAAGTCCTGAACCTCAGACACTAGACCATACCCCAAAGCCCTAAGCAGTAGCTAAACCCTCCCCCGGGCCCTAAACCCTAAACCCTACTGTTGATGATATAAATCCTGCATTACCCATAGTAAGGAAAATACCTTTATTCCCATGGTTTAGGGTCCTTAAGGTAATGCAGGATTTATATCATCAACCCTAGGCCTAGTAGAACCCAAGGGGTGGTGCTGCCATCTTTAGCTGCTTCTGCGGGCTCCCAAGCTCTCTATGCATGGGGCGCTGAAAGCTTTGGGGTCTTGGTGTAGTTGCAAGTCGTTTAGGTTTCTTGATTAGGGGCTTGGGGTTTAAGGTCCGTTAGGGGTGTAGCATTCGGTCTAGAAGTTTTCTTGAGTCCTCACCCTAAACCCAGAGAGCCCAATATCCCTTACAGTAATTGAGGAATATGCCTTAAATAATATTAGGGCTCCTACTATAATTTAAGCTACATTCCTTTATTGAGGGGTATTGGGCTCTCTGGGTACATGCACAGCGCCAGTCTTTCTCACGCGAAACCGGTCGGTGCGGCCAGAAACGTGCTGCCGCGGGAAACATCGACGGGCAAGGCGCTCCGGAGCACCCGAAGCCTAAACTTTCAACTATGCGATTCCTAATCAAAAAACTTGCAGTAAACCCCACAAAGTTGGAAACCGAATTAAGGCCAAATAGTGCTGGGATTCCCCGTTACTCTTAAGGATTGAGGCTATTGGGTTTCCAACTTTTGGGCTTCTACTGTAAGCCATCCCTCGAACCCGAATGGTTATGGAAACCCTTATAATGGAACTATGGCACACTTGTAGAAACCCTTTTTACAAACCTTATGGGAAACCCTAATTACACCACATCCTCTACTGCAAACCCAGAGGACTTTTCACAGGATCCCAGGCTTCTACATTGCGGCCTAGGATACTGTATATCGCTCCGCCAAGAGCCCTTGTCTAAATTCAATCCAGAACCCTGCGCAAAGTGCAGATATAGATAGAACGCCGATAGCCCTGAACATGCAGTACGGTAAACACAGAAGCCGAACAGAGCCATAACAACAATATCAAAAACACATGATCACATCAATGCCCGGCGAGCCGTAGCACTTAAGCTCAACACCCCTGGGATACACACACACACACCAGTCACCATCACCCGATGGACCCCGTACTCTCGCGTTCAATCAGCAGGAACAACTGAGTTCTAGTTTTCTGGATGGACCACAAACCCCGTCGACGTAGGCTGACATATTCTCAACTCTAAACCGGGAATCCTACATCCTACGGCCCATCCTAAGACCTGAACCCGACACCCTCATAAGCAGAACACACACACACACAACGCTATATGTGTTACTACATATACATATACAGATACACACACACACATTCATTACATGTGCATGTATACACTATATAGCCATACGTATGTATATATATATATATATATACCTAGGTATATAGAAGTTTATACCTACGAAGAGGCCCTTGTCCCGAGGATTTCAAACCCAGGATGCCCAGTAACCTAGGAAGAAGGGCTGCCCGTTTTGGTATTGGGTATCTCTATCAGGAACCTAGGACTACAAAAAGGGAAAAAGGGCCCACTGGGAGGCCTAGAAACAAGCCTTCTCAGGCCCCTCCGGAAACCCTTGCCGTCGGCCTAGACGCCTAGAGCTGTCGCCACGAAGAAGCATGGGAGAGGTTGTACTGTAGGGAGCTGAGTAATCTGAGCCATTTCTTTGTGTGAGTGGACCCACGAGACCGTGTCGCAATTTTCTGAACCTCATGAGCTCGCGAACCTTTACGTGGTTTAGGATAGCCTTTAGATTTTCGGGCTTATGGCTTACAGTAGAGTAGAAGCTAGAAAGTTGGAACGTCATTAGCCTCATGCCCTTAAAGTACAGTATAGGCAATCCCAGCATAAATCATCCTAAATCTGAGTTCCAACTTTCTGGGATTCACTGTAGGGCTTAAGGCTTGAGCGCTTTAGGGATCAACCCTAACCCCGGCTTATCGGCTTAGTGGTTGAAGGCTCATGTACGCCTGAGCTATGTACACTCAGCCCAAACTAAGTCTATCTCTGCTGCAACGGTTTAGACTTTAGGGTTTAGGGGTGTGCAGTAGAGGCCAAAAAGTTGGAAACCCAATAGCCTGAATCCTTAAGGGTAATTAATGCATGGGGAACCCCAGCACTATTTGGCCTTCATTCGGTTTCCAACTTTATGGGATTTACCCCTAAACCCTAAACCCTAAAACCCTAAACCCTAAACCCTAAAGCCTAAAACTGTATGTAGGGTTTCATTTGTCCAGGAGATCAGTGCTCGTATAGATACGCCAAAGCTTCGCACGTCAATCCGTTCTCAATTCCTCAAGCAAGCCTAAACCCTAAACTTCCTTAAACCCCCAACCCTTTTACCGACACTTCACTACTCCACAGAGAGTGAACAAAATTCTATGATTGCAAGTCTTTTCTAAAAGAAACCATACACCACAAAAACAGAAAGCGAAAACAAGCGTCCAAGTACCGCCAAAATCTTCTTTGCATGTTCGGTTATCTTCGAAGCCGAAGCCACACCTAGTGGACCTAGCATAGACCGACCCCCCTGCAAAAACACTTGACAAACCAATACACAACTGTATGGAAACCCTCACTACACAACCCCAAACCCCAAACCCTCATAGAATCCAACCCTAAACCCTAAACCCTACCTTAAATATGCCCTTGTGCGGAGCCTCTACCTCTCCTTCAGATTCGAATGCTTCAGCGTGTCGGCAAACTGAACACAAAGCATCCGGGCTAAGTAGCCCTTCAATCCGTCGGGCATCTGCTTCCTCGGGTTGCGTGGTTTGGTAGGTTTAGGGTTTAGGGTGTGCTTTACATTGAATGGTTCGGCTCTCCTCCATGTGCCAACGGTCCCAGGCTTCATAACAGTCATATAAGGACTAGCAAAGGGAGTAAAGCAGCTAACTCAGTTCGAGTTTAAGCTCTGTTTGAGGCGCCGGGTTGTTTCAGGAAGGAGTCATTCATGCGCAAGAGTCAGCTTTCGGGGTGGGCTGCAGGGCAGAGTCCGGTAAAGACCCTCATGAAACCCAAACCCCTGAACAACCCGAGGCCCAATCATTCCTACAGTTGAAGCCCAGAAGTTGGAAACCCATTAGCCTCCATCCTCAACAGTAATATATAGGGAATCCCAGCACCATTTCTCCTCAATCTGGTTTCCAACTTTTTGGGGTTTACTGTATATTAGACCCTAAACCCTAAACCCCTAAACCCCTAACCCCTAAACCCCTAAACCCTGAAACCCTGAAACCCTAAACCCTAAACCCTAAACCCTGAAACCCCAAACCCTGAAACCCTAAACCCTAAACCCTAAACTTTTAAACGGCCCCCAAAGCCCTTCCTGCTCCCCGGCTCCTTGCATCACAGACGGGGGACTCCGGCGACGCGGCATACACCCCAAACCTACTGCTGATGATCTAAACCCTAGGGCTCCTTTAAAGGGATCTATAAGGGTACCCTTTCAGGGGCTCCTTTAAGGGATCTATAGGGTTCGAGGTTTAGGGTTTAAGGTGATGATATATATCCTGCATTACCTTAAGGGCCCTAAACTATGGGAATTGCGGTATACTCCTTATTATGGGTAATGCAGGATTTATATCATCAACCGTACCCTCTACGAGAGCCGATTTGGTTTCTCTAAGGGTTGCACCAAAATCTCCAGGACATAAGCCCCGCACCCACCAAACAACCCGAAGCCTTGACCACCCCTAAAATCCCCTTCGAACCCATCCCTCTAAACTCTAAACCCTCAACCCTATACGGTTTAGGGTTTAGGGTTTAGGGCTTTAGGGGTTTAGGGTTTACGGGTTTAGGGTTTAGGCTTTAGGGATTTAGGGTTTAGGGGTTTAGGGGTTTAGGGGTCTAGGGTATACTGGTAAGGGCCCCAAACCCCCAAACCTTGCGACCGCAGGGACCACCCTGGCTGATCCTGCCACTCGTCGTAGCGGAGGATCCAGACCTCTCTTACTTAGTAAGTGGGGTTTAGGGTTCCTTTTAAGGGTACTTTAGGGTTCTATAATAGGCTTTCCTTTTCAGGGTTTAGGGGTTTAGGGGGTTTAGGGCATCCTTAGAGGATCACGGGACTTAGCAAGAGACCCTAGGGTTCCTTTGAAGGCTTCCATTAATGGGATCTGTAAGTCTATAGTAGGATTCCTTCAAGGGTTCCTTGAGGGTTTAGGGTTTAGGGATCTATAAGGGTTCTATAAGGGGGAGTTTAGGCTTACTTAGAGGATCATGAGACTTAGAAAGTAGGTTATAACTGGGGATATAAGTCCCCTAAGTGGGGTTATCCTAATTATAACCTACTTATAACCTGACTAAGTCCCGTAGGCCTTCAAGTACCCAGACTTTAGGGCTCTTTCTTAAGAGAAAAGGGGTTCTTCAGGGCTTTGGTGTTTCAGGTTCAGGGCTTAGGGCTTCAGAGTTTAGGGGTCTTTAGAGTCTAGGGGCTCAGGGCTGAGACTTTAGATTTGCTAGACCTAAGAGTACCCCAGGAATGAAAAGGGTGCCCTTTTTGGTTTAAAGGGGCTTATAAGGGAACCTGAACCCTAAAAAAAGGGAATAAGGGCCTACTCCAGGACCTAGTTTGAGACTGCAAGTTGAGGATGGTTCGAATGAAAGGTTCGCGCGCCTGAGAATCCAAGGGTAAAAGGAGTTTAAAGTTGCGAACCTTAAACCCCAAACTTTACACCCCTAAATCCAAAACCCTCGGCCCTAAATCCTAAACCCTATGTAAGCCTCGAACATGCCCTTACTAAAACTTAAGCCGAGACCTTGAGCCTCAAACCACATCCCCCCAATCCCACACCATAAGAACCTGGGTAGTTGTCAATATTAGGGTCCCTTTTTGGGTCCTTAATATAGTACGGCACCTAATATTTAGGGTACCCAAAAAAGACCCTAATTTTGACAACCACCCACCTGCACCATAAGAATCAAATTAGGGTTCAGGGTATTGAGCTCAGGATTCAGAGTTTAGGACTCCCCCAGTTACAGCTCAAGCAACAGCTACATTACGGCAAAAAGGCATCCTACACTCCAAGTTAAGCTTTCGAACATTCACTTCAACTCGGAAACCTATGCCCTTAATTCTGCAATTGCTGAGGCCCGAATTACCCCCCTGCCTCCGCTGGCGGATTCATCAACGATGACACCTCAATATAGCATGCAAGGTCCTTCGCAACTACACTAAAAAGGATTCTTACGAATTGTTCGATGATTGCACCAACCATAACATCGCAATTTCGATGCAGAAGCGATACATGTCTGGGCAGCTATTCGGCTGAGACACTATCAATTTCGGCTCCAGCTGCTTGTCGATGCGCTGCCTCCGAGGGCTTCTTTGTGAAACCGTGTCAGGGTGAGGGTTTAGGGTTTGCGATTTAGGGTCTAGGGTCGAGGGTTTCGGGCATAATAGAGGAGGTTTTAAGCGCACGATGAAACAACTTGGCGTCTGCGGCCTGCTGTTGTTTTGCGTCGTTCTTGTCCAGATCGCGGAGGCGCTTCCCGCGTTGGCCTCGGCCTGCGCGGCCCGAGCTTTGGCTCGCGCCGTATGGGAAGGCCGGCCTTCGCTGCTTATGGCGAGAGCAGTGGCGTGCGCCTCACCATGATAAGGCCCATGCAGCTTGATCCTTCGCTTGGGAAGCCGAAAACCTTTGCATCTGTTTGAAGGTTGAAGTACTCCGAGAATCGCTGGTAGATGAAGCCCCATGCGGCGAGGAGGTGTCTTGTCGGCGCTTCTCGGGGGCAGTACAGGTGCTCTACCTGGGAGCGGCACTTGTCGGATCACCATAGGTGAAACTCCCCTGTCAGGGGAGTCTCAGCACAGCTTGTACTACCCTAGGCTTTCGTACAACAAACTCCAGGGCTCGGGTGACAAATGGCTGGTTTACATGCCCGGCCGAACTATTAAGTTGTCCCGTATCCTGGGAACTACAGGATAACCTTTGGGACTATATTGGGGTTCTATGGGGATTATAGTACCCCAAGAAGTTTAAAGGCTACCCACTACTATACTGAACATAGAACCCTAGCAAAAAATATAAGTTTAGCTGTTTCTTCGGGATTATAAAGTACCCCTAAGACTACACAACTAGGATCTGAATCCTGGATCTCCTCATGCCGTTTCGAATGATGTCTGGCCTAAGGATGGATACTCGAGTTGGGAGTTAGGATGTTGAGTGCGGAAGGCTTGAGTAATGGGGATTATGTGAAAGTATAACTGTGAGGGGGTACTAAAACTGCGTAAATTAAAACCCCTCCGCACTGGCTTCAGAGTTCAAAACCGTTGAGAGATGCCGAAAGACCTCGGGTACATACGGGGCAGACTAAGGCAAACCAAACTTATATCTCCTAACATAGAAGCATTACTTTCTGAGACATGGGTACAATGGAAACTGGGCCCTCTTACTTTCTACGGAATCCTCTTTGAAATTGTATTATTGGGTGAAGGGTCTGTAGTTCGTATAAGGACCTTACCAGTTGGAATGGGGTTCGGGGCATACCCTACAAGTAGCAACCCAACGGAGCAAGATTGCCAAGAAAAAAGACCCCTATGCTATGCTACCTGTAGCCCCATGCCCTACCAACTAGGTAGGTGATAGTCCCTCAAGTATGGGGCCTAACTCTTAGCCTTAAAAGGAACCCCAAACCTTAAAACCCTAAACTCTAAACCCCTAAACCCCTAAACCCTCAACCCCTAAACCCCTAAACCCTAAACCAAACCGTGCCTGTGGAACTTGAAGAATGTCTCAATGCCAGCAACATGGCCCGGCCTAAGGATCTTCGCTACTGCAGAACCGAAGGCTTTAGGCTTTGGGGCATATGATTCTTTGGGAGAAGCGAATCAAAATTATCTGTTGTTAATTTTGATGCATTGAAATTAGTTTTAGGGCTTCTCTTAGTATCTCAAGAAGGTGTAACAGTGCAGGAGTGTAGGATTCAGGGTCAGGAATCAGTTTACGGTTCAGGAGTTTTGTGTGTATGGTTTGGGGTTTAGGGTGTTCCTTGCAATTACAACGGATCTCTGCTTGCCTAGAGTTTGCAGGTGTCCTTAAAGGCAATCACTGGCGCTGCCACATTTCATGATGGTGACTAGCTAAGGGCCCAGGGGACTTGGTAAGTAGGGTTATCATTGTTATAAACGGCCTAAGTAGGGTTATCCTCATTATAAGCTTACTTACAATTTATAACCCCGCCCTGAATCGCTTGAAGTTTTCCGGCCCGAATCCAAAGTTCGTTCGGATTCCTGCAATGACTGGGACACCATCAGGTTGAACCGCAGTGTAGAAGAACTCGAAAGTGCCACGTTGATGCAAGATCTCACAAAGTCCACGGGTTCACCGTCTCGCGCGAACAGCATCGTCTGTAGCAGGATTTTCGCACCGGAAGACTTTGCGAGCAGGCTTCTTCACTCTCGGCTGCGTTGGCTGAACAACGTCTTCATGGCAACAATCCCGCTGCTGCCGAAGTATACTTACTAAGCCCGTTGGGCCCTTCAGTACTAAGACTTAAGCCCACGCAACATCCGGCCGTTGGGCCTACCCGCTTCGGGGTGCCCAGAGATTCCTAAATCCCTGTGCTGTCTTAGATATTCTTCAAGCTGTAGCAGGGATCCTTCATGATGAACCTGGAAAGTCTATGCTCTATACAGTAGATATAGTCTGTACATTCCTGTCAAACCTCTTCAAGCCTTCATTTAAAAAGCGGTTGAAAGCAGAGCCAATAATGTATGGGATCCTGTAGAGGGTTTAGGGTTTAGGGTTAGGATGATTCATGCTGGGACTACCTAACCTTTACTTAAAGGCATGAGGCTAATGATGTTCCAACTTTCTGGCTTCTACCGTACAGCCCGTATGTAAAACTTCACAGAAAGCAAGGACCGTACCTGGACAAACCCTCATGAACTGTCGACAAAATATGACCAGGAGAACCTCGTATAGTACACGACTTCGACACCCCTGACTAAGCGCTTGTACGACCGTTGTACAATCATCTGCTAAATCCCAGATCACTGAATTGTAAACAAAACCTGCAGCCTCAACCCTAAATCCTAACACTGACCACTTAAACAACACCCTTAAACTTCAGGAACGCTGTGCACTCGACCTATACGACCCCTGAATAACTATACTAATATACTAAAGTCGTCTAAACCTCAGAGGCATTGAAACAATCATCTAAACCCAAGCCCTGAAAACCTTGAAACCCTCAAGTCCTAAACCCTAAGAAACCCGAAGGTCATAAACCCTAAACCCTTGAAGCCCAAAAGTCTTAAACCAAAAGAGCCTTAAAGCTTTGAAGTCCTAAACCCCAAAAACTACCTTAAAACTTTGAAGCCCTTAACCCCAAAAAACCTTAAAACTTTGAAGTCCTAAACCAAAAAAACCTTGAAACCCTGAGGTCCTGAACCAAAAAGAAGCCTTGAAGCCCTGAAGTCCAACTCTTCCCGGTGCTTTCCGGGCGGCGGATATCGCGCCAGCAGCCGCTTCCCCTTGCGGAAGCCTTGGGCTCATAATCGCGGCTCGGTTCAGGGTTTAGGGTTTACCTGGACCCCAAGGAACCTACCTCTTTGGGGTTCCCTAATATGATTTCTTTATACAAGTCCCTAAAAGGGTATGTTATTTGTGGTTAAGGTAGGGTTTAGGGCTTGAGGGGTTTAGGGTTTAGGATTTAGGCCTAATTTGAGGCTTAGGGATTAAGGGTTTAGGGTTGGGGATTTAGCGGCGCGGCTTAAGATTTAGGGGGGTAGTGCTTAGGAATCAGGGGTGTAGGCCTTAGGGGCTTGTATATTACAGGGGCCTTACTAATCGAATGTATGGCTCTGACATAGGGGTTTTGGGCTTGAAAGCGACTTGTAAGGGGGTCTCATAATAGAGGTGCCCTAATAATTAGAGTAGAGTTTGGGGATATCTTATACTCGACTTAACTCAAGCGATGTCAGACACCTCCTAAGCAAACATCTGGGTGATTTTCCACACAGTATAAGAGGTTGCTTGGGGAGGGGTGTTGTTAAAGGGCCTTGCAGTGCTTTGAAGGTGGGTTGTCCGAGCCCATTAGCTTTGCACGAGGCTTAGACGGGTTTCGTTTCATTTTTATGAAGTCGGGGTCCTTCGTTAGGGTGGCTTTTGTTGGTTTCGAGTTCTGGGGTTTTTTTGGGTTTAGAGTTCAAGTTTAAGTTCCCTGAAAAGGGTTTCTGATATCATTCTCCGGGTGGCTCCTTTGCAACGTGCTCTTTGTGGGGTTCGGTTGGGTTTTGGGCTGTTATTATGAAAAAAACAAAGGCTCAGAAGTTTATGAGTTTTGGGGCTTGGGCTTTCAGGCTTTCGAGTTGTATTAAAAAGGCTTGCAAACCAGGTCGAATTTGGTGCCTAGTGTTTTCAAGAGCTTCAGGCACACAAAAGTGTTCCGAGACTGCAGCCATAAGCCCTAAACATACCCCTGAACCCTAAACCCCAAACCCTAAACGCCAGACCCCCTAAACCTTCAGTGCCTCAGCTGACACCTCGAAAAGGCCCAAAAGGCATGCCAAAAGACGATGTGAGCCTACCTGAACCCACCAGAGCCCACTCTTTGACTCTTTGGTGGGGTCCCTAAGACTTCAATATTGAGGTGTATAACAAGAACCTGCGAAAAACAGGTTTCGGTAGGTTAAGGTAGTGTAGAATACTCCCCCCCCTCAACCCTGAGCCACATACTCTGTTCCGTAAGAAGCCACAAAGATATCCCAAGTGGCTGAAGGCGGAATGTGTCTCAAAGACGTCCGGCTTCTCCTGGGCCAGAGCAATCCCCAAAGTATGCACCGATCTAGTCTCTTCTCAGTGAAGTGGGCACAAAAAGTTCCAAGTTTCTACTATATACCATGGACAGATAGATAGTAAGATAGGTAGGCAGATAGATAGATTAGATAGGTATGAAATGGTATGGATATACATATATTTATATCTATTTAATGATTCGTAACACCGAAATGTTTAAAGTTCTCGCACTGGCCATATAAGCGAATCATGCAACACATAGGTCCCTTCGTTACATCTTGGTCGCACCCCTAACCCTACAACGACAGCCGTAAACACTAAACCCCAAGCCTACTCTTAAGCTACGGATGTTCCCACAGTTTTATGCGAGTTGCATGTGGACTAAAGGTTTGAGGTCTCTTGCAGGGTCGTTGGGGTAGATCAGTAGTACTGCATAGTTCTACAGGGCAACTAGTTATCATCATAGACACCAAAACATAGTTCTTACAACTATGAGGAGATTCTTACCCCTAGGCTTACAGGGACCTTATTATTGGGTCCTTAAGGGGTGTAGGGCCCTAACTATAAGGTCCTTGGAAGCATAGGGTACTACTTATCATTCTGACCTCGAAATCAGAGTCGAGTAGAGGGTTGAAGAGTGACAGACTTTTGGAGTCGAAGGGTTTAGGGGTTTAGGGGTTCAGAATTCAGGGCTCAGGGTTTTAGGATAGGGTTTAGGGTTTAGGGATTTAGGGGTTCAGGGCTGTAGGGATTCGGGCTGTAGGGGTTTAGGGTTTAGGGGTTCAGGGTGTGGGAGTCGAGAGTTTAGTGCTTTGTCTGGGTTTCGGGTTTGCCAATGATCGCGATCATGCTCGGAAGAAAGCTGATGATAATGACGAAAGCGATTATTATAATTACGATTACGAGGACTTTGTGATGATGGTGATGTTGATGATGACGATGATACTGATGGCTTGTCGCAGACCGTGGCTTCCAACAGCTCATGAGACCGAACGCTGAGCCTAAAGCTTCCCAAAACCAGTAACAAGGAGCCGCGACGGGCACGATCTTCACCATGGACAGTGCTCCCTTCATGATGAAGCACATCGCGCGACCTGTCTGTCGAGCGTGTGCATGTCCGTCAGGGTTTAGGGTTTAAGGGTTTCGGGTTTAGGGAGTTGGGGTTTATGGTTTTGGGTTCAGGGGCTTACTTGGAGGTTCATGGTGAGTTATAAGTGGGGTTATAAGTAGGGTAACTATAGTTATAACCCATATTAGGGGACTTTAACCCCACCTATGAACCTCCAAGTAGGGTTTAAGGCAATGTCTGCAGTTTCTTGTAAGTAATTTGGTTCGGGAGCACCGGTCCGGAGGATTCCGGCTCATGTTTTTGGTCCTTGTGCAAACTCAGAGACTCCAATATCCCTTAATTAAGGAATATACCGTAAGTAATCGTTTTATCCCTGATATGATTTAAGGACCACTCCTTGATGAAGGGATATTGGAGCCTCTGGGAATGTGGGGGATCTGCGGGGGAGCCAGGGCAAAGGAACAGAGATCGTTGCCACTACGGCTGGCGCTCCGCGTGGTGTTATCGCCAACATGATGAACGCGCGCGGCTCCTAAACTCTAAGCCTTTAATGCCTTTGATGCTACACCCTCAACCCCACGCTTGCTTTAGACACCATTTTTGGGATCCCCACGATAGCCCCTATCAAGGGGGAGGGGGGATCTTAATCCGCGCTTTTCATTAGGGTTCCCTGAAAACTAAAGCCTAAAGGCCGTAACGCCAAACCCGAACCCTATACGCCCTATACCTGCAACAACAGACTTAAATAACAAGGGTACGAGATCCTTGGCGCCTAAAACGTACCGCCCTGATCAAATAGAGTCCAATATACCCTCAACCCTAAATCCGCATAATCCAAATATGAGTGATTTGCGGAAGCGCGCTAATAAAGGGGCCTGACTACTTAGAATGGCTTTTTTTGCCCATTATACTATAATTATAATAAGGAAGCCCAAAAGTAGTATAGGTAATTATTGAGACCCCTACAGTCAGCACATGACTCTAAAACTCTTCCAGGGCCTCAGGAGGCCCGTAAGGAAGAATCCTTTTGGGAACCCTATAAGGAAGCCCAAACCCCATATACCCTAAACTGAACCATAATCCTTTTCGGAACCCTTTAAGGAAGCCCAAACCCTATTCCCTGAACTGAACCATAAACCCTAAAGGGAGTTTCCGAAAATAGGGGACCCCAATATAGAACCCTAAATCGAGGATCCTTAGTATATGGACCCCCCAAAAAAAGGTAGCCCTAAATTTCGGAAACTCCCTTAACCCCAAACTCCTTATAGAACCCTTATAGATCCCTTTCAAGAACCCTTAAAGGATCCCTTTGAAGGACCCCCCCCCCCCAAATTTCGGAAACTCCCATCTGTGCCAGGCTGCTCATGCTGGGCAGCTCGTCCGACAGGTTCTTGCCGGCGACTTGGTCCCTTAGCGATGGGAGGCCAAAAGGGGGGTCATACTTAGTAGCCCTTATAGGATCCCTTATAGACCCCTTTAAAAAGAAGCCGTGAACGAGCCCAATTTAGGCTCCTACATTTGATGGGAGGCCAAAAGGGTGGTTTCAGATTCTTGGGGTAGGGATTAGGGTTTAGGGTCTAGGGATTAGGGTTTAAGATTCTTGGGGTAGGGATTCCTTAATATGAACCCTACTATGGGAACCCCAATCCCTACTAAACCCCCATAGGCTAAAACCCCTTTTGGCCTCCTATGAAACTTAGCGGCCGCGTCAAGGGCTCTTACAAGGGTTAGCGGTTAGCGCAAGGGTCTGAAGTAGCAGCCTTTCATACTTTTTACAAAGATTTTAGGCCGTGTGGAAACAATGGGTTTTAGACAAAGGGCTTTTGAGGTGCCCAGAGGCTTATAAGTTATGTTGTCAGCATTAAAAACTCCAAGGGTGAAAGGAGGGACCCTTCATAAGGACCCCTAGGTATATACACTTAATATAGTGTTTATATACCCATTATATAGCCCATTATAGGGTAGGGGTCCCCATTGAGGGCCCCTCCTCTTCCCCTAAACCCCTAAACCCTAAACCCTAAACCCTATACCCTTATAGAATCACTATACCTATACCCAAAAAGAATCCCTATAGATCCCTTTAAAGGGTCCCCATTGAGGGTCCCTCCTCTTCCCCTTTGAACTCTCCTTGGAGATCTTTGGTCCCTCTAGCCTGGTACAACCCGGCGGGTCGCACGGGTTTAGGGGTTCAGGGGTTCAGGGGTTTTAGGGATTTTAGGGGTTTAGGCTTTAGGGCTTAGGGTGTAGGGTGTAGGGTTTTAGGGTTTATAGGGGTTGACCTTCCGAAAAAAATCTGATAGGCGACTTAACAACTAGAACTGGCTCTTGGGTAAACGAAGAGGAAACTACAAGGGCAGACTGTTTCGTCCTATTCCGAACCCCATATTATCTGACCCACATCAAACCATAACACCCCTGAGACCCAAACACAAATTGGTGTAGCAACCCTGTTGGGTGTATACTGTGGGCACAATAACAAACAACTCTGAGTGAGAACCCAAATAACAAGCTCAGGGACTGTTTCCGGGTTCGTCGGATCCCTCAACACATCAGGGCTAGGCTATCTCGTGGACCTGGGCTAGCTATCTCCGGGCCGAAGAAGTAACAGTTGGCCCTTGCTCCTGCATATTTGATCAGGTGTTTTGCGGGGTATATTATGAACCGGCAGCGTTTCGGGACGATGAGGGGTTACCAGACAAAAACTGCCCAGACCGCTACCAAGCACAACTGAAATTCTCAACTTTTCGTCTACTTCAACCGACATTTCCGCAGATTCCTGCAACAAGAATCCTGGTGTGGCTTTGCTAGGAACCCTACGAAAAGGCAGGCTCTAGCAGCCTAAGATTGAGGCGAAGTGGAAAGAATCCATGACTGAAGACTATATCCTGAACCTTGAGGCCGAATTCCTAACCTCTGACACTGCTTGACACCCTCCTGGCTTTGGCGTTGATGGATGTAGGCTTAGCTATACTGAACTTAGAACCCTAGCAAAAATTATAATCTTAGCTGTTTCTTAGGGATTATAATGACCAAAAATTGAAAATTATTTCTAAGTACCCCTAAGGTTAGGGTTTACGATTCTGAATCAACAGCCGTGCTGCACCAGAACCTGGCAAAACGGCTTCAGCTGCATCATCACGCCCAAGGGGAGGTCGTTCCTGGGTTTAGGGTTTAGGTCGTTCCTAGGTCCAGGCAGGGGTGAGGAATCGCAGTTCAAAGTCGCCCCTCACGGAAGTTGATGTCTTTTGCAGGTAGGCTCTGTACCCTAAACCCAAATCCCTAACTGCCCACACCCGTCAGAGGAACACAAACCTTATCTTTACCAAAAGACTGGCAAACAGAAGACCCGAACATCTACACCTTCATATCGGGGACTCACTACTTGAAACAGAGTTTGGGTGCTTATAGTGTACCACGATAAGGGGCCATCAGGAAAAGCCTCTTTCAAGTGTTGCTTCATGCTTTGATGCTAACCCATATATTCCAACGAGATGTGCTTGGAACGCGGCTCTACATCCTCCCAATAACGCCTCCTACACAACTCTAGAAAGAGAGCTAGAAAACACATTGAAATCCTCCCGTATGACACTCTATGCAGCCCTCAACAAAATCTACGAAACCCTACAAAACATAAAGAACACCACCCTGCAAAACGCCTGTTTCATCTCCGAGAACCACTGTTTTGCGGCACGATTTACGGTTAAGTGATTAGGGTTTACCCTAAACCCTAAACCCCAAAGACAAGACTCATCATCTCGGAACCAACCCATAAATCCATAGAGCGCCTTGCTGTGTGCCGAGATTCATCATCTCGAACGCAGACTCAGAGAGACGACCTTGTTGGCCTTCAACTACTGCCCGGTACCTGCAGCCGAAGGGTTCCATTAATGCAGAGGCCTGAACCACAACAGTGGGATTCGTTAAGGGATTTTCGAAAGAGGTTCATTTAAGAAAGGGTTCTCACAAGGATTGTCACAAGGGTTAGTCGGGCCTTTGTAAAACTCTTGGGCTCTATCTATTGTATCATTAGTATATGATCGAAACCCCAATGAAAAGATTTGGTAGTGATTCAGGCTTCTATGTTGTAAGGGTCTTATGAGTCTTCATAGGATTTAATGGCGCTTAACAGAGATTCAATTGTCTCTTATAGGGCGCCGGGTAGATGCCTTCATTCTCAGGAGCTTTCTCAGCTCATGTCTCAAGGATTTTCGTCTTTCGGGCTCAGGTGTTCTTGATGGCTTTTAAAGGCCTGGGGCTTGAAGCTAAGGCTGCTCTTGCGTTGGGGCAGAATTGGTTAGGGAGTGTCGGGTTTAGGGTAATTGTTTCTTGAAGAGGAACAAGTAGTGGCAGTAGTAGCAGGAGCAGGAGCAGGAGCAGGAGCAGGAGCAGGAGCAGGAGCAGGAGCAGTAGCAGTAGCAGTAGCAGTAGCAGTAGCAGTAGCAGCAGCAGTAGCAGTAGCAGTCGTAATAGCCAGCAGAAGTGACAATAGCAGTCACAACAGTAACAATCACAGTGAGGATAAGATCAACGAGCAGTCATCGTCGTCGCCGTCGTCTTCTTATGCTCAGAGCTGATGATCGCATAGCCGCTCCCAAACTATGAACAGAGTCATAGCAACAGACACAATGTCGCAACTCGAAAAGCACTTACATTAGCAGCCATGACTAGTCATCGGAAATGTTCAAGAGGACTCTTGGATGCGCGACACTAGCTTTACTAACCTCTAGGACTCTAGGTGTTTTGAAGGGTTTATACTTCCAACAAAGCTCAACGTGAAGTTCTAAGCAATTCCCGGCGAGGCACTCACGCATGTAGTCCTCCAGTCCCATGATCGGAGCTGAAAGGTCGTAGCTGTAGTTCCGCACCAGATACTCATCGCAGTAATCCAGGCAGTCAGTCTCATGAAAGAAGGCATCCTTGAACAAAGGCGTGTAGAGTTTAAGGGGTGTAGAGTGTAGAGTTTGAGGCGAGATTGCTACATTATATTTTGTTGTGTGGCAGGGTTTTGATGGCTTGTCTTGGGTTGCATAAGAGTATTATATGGCTTTTCGGCCTATTGCGTTTATTGTTTACTAGGGCCCCCCAAAAGCACATAAGCAACAAATAGGATAGGGATATCCCATATAAACCCCTTATAATGAAGCCCAACAAGGTAAGGATATCCCTATAAGATGCTTATGTGTACGTGCTGTTTGGATCCCTAATTTACGGGTTCAGGGTTTACCTACTCGTCAGGTATCATGGGTAACTGAAGGTCAACCTTTTTGGTGATATAGGGATTATATATGGACTCTACTATCTCAAGGTTAAAGGTTATGTACACTACTACTCGGCCTAAATACTAACCCCGAAACCCCGAACCAAGACCATGAACTATATTAACTATATCAGGGTCCCCTATTTTCAGAAACTCCCATTTGGGGCCGCCCCATGACCAGCACAGATTAGGGGTTCAGGATTTTGGATTGGACTTCAGCTTTCCGGGATTGAGCCGGAAACATGAAGTCAGCTGCACAGGATCCCTTCTTCCGGAAACCTCCCACGCCGCTTAGGGCTTTAGGGTTTAGGGCTTTAGGGGTTTAAGGTTTAGGGGTTAGGGTTGAGGGTTTAGGAATATGCATTAATTCATGAGGGGATCCTTGATCTGATCTTATTGTGCATGGCTTTTAATATTTTTCCTGGGTGCACCGAAGCTACAATGGAAATACAACCACCCAGAACCCAAGACCTCAAACGCCGTAACGAAAACCCCAGTGATCCTGGACACTGAAAGCTCTACGCAAACGGTTTTGGGGTTAGCATTTAGAGGCTTAGGATTTTGATCGAGGGTTTAGGTTTTAGAGGTTGAGGGTTTAGGGTTGACTATACTGAACTTAGAACCCCCTAAACCCTAAACCCTAAACCCTAAACCTTTGGGATAAGGCGCTGCTGGTTCGTATGGGGCATCGGGCTTGGGGTCGGGGCTCAGGGCGCGGGCTTTGGGTAGGGGGTTCGGGCTTCCCAAAATGTTCTTAGTAGGGTTTAGGGTTCCTTTTAAGGCATTTTAAGGGTACTATAGTGTTCTTAGCTGCTGAGTTCATAAGCCCCGAAAAGTCTACACTTTCAGTTTTATGTTGGGTAATATCATCCCAAATAAGTCTAAAGTGCATCCCCTCAGCTACTAAGTGTTCATCCAGTCAGCAATGATCCCCCTTGAACTTCTCCACGCTTCGTACCTCTGGGACTAAACTACCCGAAACCCTGGACCGTTTGCCCGCAACCTTGTACTGCGAGGTGCCGGGTGGGATTCGTTGTTCGGCGTCTCCGGATCCAGGTATTCCAGCGACTCACCCACGAAGCTCCACCTAGTATAGGGGCCTTAGTAACCTTAGTAATTTGAATAGGGTTTTGGGGTACATTATACTATAATCATAATCAAGAACCTCGACAATAGTATTGGTAACTCTTGAGGCCCCTAGGACTTTCGTCCGCTTTTCTTGTTCTGTCCCGGTGCGCTTGAGGGTATACACTTGATTCTGTTTTTGTGCCTTATAGACCCTGAACCCTGAATCTGTTGGGGTCTTGTAGGATTTAGGTCTGGTAAGCCCAAAGCCTCATACATCTGTAAGGCCTTGATCTTCGAACCCCTCTTTGCTACAGTCCTCGTTAATGGAGTGGGGTTTGGGGTTTCGGGTTCAGGGTCTCTGTTACACTTACTTAGTTAAGGGAGTGGGGTTTTAGGGTTTAGGGTTTGTGACCCACAGTAAAGGAGAAGAGTTTATGACTCACTCGTAAAGCTCAGCAAGACGCTGGTTGTTCTGGATGCGCATCAAGAAGTCTTTGGAGGGCCTCTGAATGGCTCCTCCGAAGGACGAAGTCTGCGATTGTGAAGGAGTTTATTTATTGCTTCAAAAACCTAAACACTCTAAAACTCTTGCAACCCTCCCCTGCAACACTCCCCGGTTTCCGGCTTATTCTGATGTTGTTCCGGGGCTATCCCGGAAAGAACGATTCTTGCAGACACTTGCATGGTCGATCTTTTGGAGCACTCTGCGCACATAGACTCTAACGACATGGCCGCCACATGCTCTGGTTTGATATTCTGTTCAACCTTTGAGGTGTCGATCGGGACCGGCTTCGGCTGATTGTCAGAGAGAGAGACAGAGCGGGAGCGTGGGCTGCATGTTTTCGTTCCAAACATTCGATGACTGCTCTTGTATAGCGGGTTTGGGCCTAGCCGGGAAAGCCCGATATAGTCACAACACAGCCCGATATAGCAACGGAATAGCGCGGATTGCGGGGGGGGTTGCGGTATCCCCAACTAGGGCTGGGTTTGGGGGTTTGGTGGCGGGTGGGGTGGTTTAGGGGTTTTGGTGTGCAGCGAGAGGGGTGTGGGGAGGGGTGTCTCTGTGGTGAGGTGGGGGTGGTTTGGGGCGCAGAACTTTCAATCTGCAAACGAGGTCCTTGTCACGCTGTGAGGAAGGCATGCATTCAGAAAGGGGTTAATGCCGCAAACCACCTGCCCTGTCTGCGGCACGACAGTCTCCGGGTTCCAGGCAGTGCTCGCAAGGGAAACAGTACTCTTCTAACGCCATTGTCAGCCTGAGCCGGCTCTGAGCCGACAGGCCTGTAATTATCCTGTCCCTTGATAAGGCTATATAGTCCCATCATTACCCTGGATAGTCCCGAGATAGTGATCATATACTGTTGATAAAGGTGTTTTGGATGGGAAGGGCTGCCGGGGAGGGTTGTAAGACTCTTAGAAACACCCAAACCCAAACCCCTAAACCCTAAACTCTAATCCCTCAATTGGGAGCCCGGCGTTTTGAGTCTGGAGTCTAGGTTCAGGGCTTAAGGCTACTCGGGCTTAGAGCTTTAGGGTTCAGGCTTTAAGCTTCTAAGGTGTTGGGCTTAGGTTTTACAGGCTTAAAATTTGGATTATGAATTCAGCTTTTGATTTGTTAGAGCTCCGTAGGGTTTAGGGGTTAGGGATAGTATACCTTTGGAACAAGTGCTGTTTACTCGCACGGGTTCTATGTCTTTTTCAGACATAGGCAATGCACGGCATGCTGTGTTTACATGCGCATGCATGCATTTTCCCTTGCCGGTTCTTGGTGTCATTTCTTTGCCACTCCTGGTTTTGGCTTTCGCCAGTGCCACTTATATACCGTTCTTGGTTTGGGTTTTTCCCGGACTGCGGCCGAGTGTTTTGGCTGATCCTTATGGTTTCCCGCGATGCCATGCTTGGCCAACTGTCTGGACGGGAAAGCCCCTGCTCTTGCAAGGCTTCGCGAAAACCCAACTAGACCTTAAAACCCTAAAACCTGAGATCCCAACCCCTAAACCGTAAACGTCCCGAAACCCCAAACATCCCTGAACCCCCAATCCGCAAGCTCTAAAACCTGTATAATAAAGCCCATCTAGGTGCCTTTATAGGAACCCTGTTAGGAACCCCTTAAAGGAGCCCTGTAAAGGGTTCTAAGACTGAAACCTCAAACCCATAGCTCTACACTTTCCCCAGAGACTCCAATATCCCTTAATTAAGGAATATACCTTACATCATATAAGGGATCCCTACCATTTTTTAAGGAATATTCCTTAATTAAGGGATATTGGAGTCTCTGGGTAACCCTGAAACCTCAAACCCATACTGTTGATGGACAAAATCCTGCATTGCCTTTATAAGGATTATACCATAGTTCCCATAGTTTAGGGTCCTTTGGGTCATGCAGGATTTTGTCCATCAACAGTAGCTCTACACTTTCCGAGGCGAGGTCTCCTGCGGCGACCAACGCTCCAAAGACTTGCTCGTTGGTGCGACAGTGGAGAACCTGGTTTAGGGTTTAGGGGTTTAGGGTTTAGGGGTTTAGGGTGTTTAGGGTTTAGGGGTTTAGGGGTTTAGGGTTTAGGGGTTTAGGGGTTTAAAGGTTTAGGGTTTACGGTTTAGGGGTTTAGGGTTTAGGGTTCCTCCACAAAGGGGCACCTACGACAGGGGCCTGAATAATTTACCAGCACAATTTTTTTGGGGGGGTCCTTATCACTGGCCCCAAAACCCTATTCTAATCTAGTTCTTAAGGCCGCTGTATTAGTGTTTCTAGGCTTTGAGGTTCAGGGCGCAGCTAGGTGTAGAGTTGGGGGTTTAGGGTTGCCAATCTGTACAGCCGCGAGGTCTGAAGACGAGGGTTGTGGCATATCTAGTGTATAGTAAACGGATACCTTTCTATACCCCCCTGAGAACCGTAATAAGAATGACAGATGTGAACAATAATAAAAAACCCTAAGGAAACTATGGCTTCGGGGTACTCTCAATATCCCCTGGAGCCCCACGAAGACTGTCAATCGCTGGTGCAGCCGCGGTGCATTGCAGCCGAACTTGGAGATTTTCTCTTGAGCAGCGCGGATGTTCTCCGCTGCGGAGGGATCCATCAACGGAACCCGGGCATAGCTCAAGATCACGAACTCCTGGGCTACACGGTTATATCATGGACTTCTGAAAAGGCCTGCTGGCAGCTCCATGATCCCGTAAGACCTAAACCCTAAACCCAGGATTTAGTGTTAAATCCTGCCCTTACGTATTGTAGTAATCAACAAGTATTCAAACCTCCACTTCCCTAAACCCCTAAACTCTACGCTCTAAGCTCTAGATGACGAAAACCGCTGAAGCCCTGCGCAGCCCGGCGTCGATTCGGTGGTCCGCTGCAGCAGCCTCTAGACCTTACGTGTCCAAAACCCCACGCTAGGGTTTACCTTAACCTACCAAAACCTACAAAAAAGTAGGGTCCCTATGAATTCCATATTAGAGTTTATGATAAGAACCTACAAAAAAGTAGGGTTTGGCAGGTTAGGGTAGGGTTTAGTGTCTCGGATTTCGGGATTGAAGGCCAGTTGAGGGTTTATGGCGCGAACATCATAAAGTTCGCAGCCAGGCTTACCCACAGCCTTCACGAAAGTGATCTCTAAACACTAAACACTGCACCCAACACTCTCGAAATTTAAAGCCCCTAAACCCTACGCCCCGAGCCTTACAAAATCGTAGGACCTGGCAGCTTCACTTGGCTGACTTCTTCTGAACCCCTCCCAGAAAGATAAATCTTTAGGTTCCCTATTATGGTTCATATAGAAACCCAAAAATTTGAAGTCCAAAGAGCCAACCAGAATTAACGCCAAGTTCATTAACTCTGGATAACTATGGAGCCGTTTGAGGATCCATAGGTATGACCCCTTAATGCGACAGTTGGAGCCACCTAAAAAAACAAAACGGCGCTAACCACTCCCATAAGCCGTTTGACCCAGGATCAAACTGATGTTGCAGAACCAAAGCCACGAAACTCCAGGTAAACCTGCAACCCTTAAAGGAACCCTGAAAAGATCCAAAGCCGAGGGGCTCGAGGTCAGCTGCAACATGGAGCCGAAGAAGAGCTGGCCCTCTCAGGGTATAAGTTAGGTACGGCCCCCATACAGTAAGAGTCTATCATAGGGCTACTATTGAGGTCCAAATATGTCTATATTATGAATATTATTCAACTATTACTGAGTGGGGGCCGCCGTACCCAAGGTATAAGATGCGTCTTTGGAGCTTAGGAAGTTTAGGGTTCCTGCGACGGGCTTGGAGTTTGGGCAACTTAGGCAGTCCCGGGTTCCAACAGATGGGTTTTGTAAGAAGGGAAATTGAAGTTGCCCTTGAACCGGTTCAAGGTTCAGGGAGTTTTGGGAATTCTTGGGCTTCCTTTAAAGGGCTTAAGGTTTATGGAGCTTTGAGAATTTGGGGTTCCTTTATAAACGGGCTTACGGTTTACGGAGCTTTGGGAGTGTAGGGTTCTTTTTAATCATTGAAGGGTTTACTTAAAGGCTCATGGGACCTAGTAAGTAAAAAGTTATACATAAGTCGGTTATAATTGGGATAACCTCCCTTAATGAACTTGTTATAATATATTAAGTTCATTGAGGGAGGTGATCCCAGTTATAACCTACTTACTATAAGCCCAGTTACAACATACTAATTCCATGATCCTCTAAGTTGGGCCCTGGCCTGTAGGTACAGCAATCGGACGCGATCGCCTTCTGCTGCGAGAACCTCACCAGAGAAAGGGTTGGCTTTATTATAGGGATCAGAGCTTTAGGACTTGCAACTTTCAAGGTTAAAGTGGCGTTTCATTGGGTGGGATTGTGCGCTTGGTTTAGTGCAGTTTGGGGTTTGGACAATTTTGGGTTTGGGGCATATTTCGCGCGGCTTCGATTACCCTTTTGGGGCTCCTTCTGCAGATGTAAACAACCCTTTATGGTACAGGTATACCATGGTATACCCACTTCGTCCTTAACAGGACGACCTCGGCATTCGTATTTGACGTCGCCCAGAAGCGGTTGCCAAGACAGGGAACATCTTGACCAAAGGTTAAAAGGCTAACTACAGAAAAAAGATCTTGAGTTGATATATCCCCGTGATTAAACAAACCCGTGTCTTCAAAGGCCCAACTATTGCAATGCCTACCTATAGTATATTCGTTCTTAACGGACACCGGTCTACTGATAAGCAATTTACAGTTGTGCTTGCTGTATTTGACCCCAGGCCATCGCTGGATACCCGGGCTGAATCATGATATAGCTGGGTGGCATTCATCTCCCACCACGGTCCTGGGCAATTGTAGGAGCTTGGAAAGCCTAAATCGTATCTGTAGGCTCAACCCAACGAAATGGTAGGTCATGACCACGTAATTACAGTGCTTAACACGCGAAGCATTAGGTTTTGACTCCACAGGTAAAACATCAATCTGCAGATCAGAGACTTTTCAATCCCAGCTCAAGATTTTTGCGTTGGTGAATTTAGCGCTGGTGACGTGGTGAATGGTGACTTGTAATTAACAGGTGGTCGCGGATCCCCAAACCACATAAACCTTACAAGTCCGTAAATCTGCCCAAAACTCACAGACCCGCTACGTAGGCGTATTCCTCTGTAAAGCCCCTAAAACAGGTTGGAAACACCAAACCCTGTAAAATGCTATAAGAGCCATACGAAACCGCCCTACATGACGTTTCTACAACCCACGCCCTGCAAAACCATAAAAGGGAATCCCCGGCTTTCTCAAGTTCGAGCATCTTTTCGTTCGGCTCACCACGTGCTGGCCGTCTACCACAGAGCTGACCGGCGATGTAGACATGCCGTCCCAGACAAATAGGAGAATACCTGGTTTAGGGCTTAGGTCTTAACCAGGGTTTACAGGGCACAACGATAGTGGTATGATGGAATACAGAAAACCTAAATATCGACATCCAAAACAAAAAGGAGAATACCTGACTTAGGGCTGGGCGCTTTAATTTTGAGGGTTTGCGGTCCTACACACTGCACCCCCCAAAAGCCTCTACTTGAGTCGACCTCGGACCACAAGGCCTACTTTTTTTGCGCGTGGAATTACATCGAAGGTTCGGCATAGACAACCGAAAACTTGTGGACGTTGGGAATCTTGGCCAAGCAGGGTTTAGGGAAGGTCGATTGCGATACTTACTGGAAAGCAAGGCAAGCGACCAGCCAGGGAAGTATTTACTCGGAATGTTTTTTGGGAGCTTGAACTTGAGTAGCCCCGCGTCACTATCCGATTATTGAAAAAAGTTTACTCGCATCGCACAGGAAATCGACTTTACCGTTTTTCCTTCTTGTAATCGTTTCAAAAGACAAATCACAATTTAAAGAAGCGCTTGCTCTTAAACGGTGTGCCAGAATAGCAAGCCTCCCCCATTATCCGGTGCAAGCGCCACTGAACGCCGATCCTCTGCTGTCCCCGGTGGAAGAAGACGCTCGTAGTATGCCTGTGGAACAAAGGCGTGATGGCAAAACAAGGCTCACTTCAGAACGAGATCACTAGATCATACCCGTAATAATGACATGTCAAGCTGATCACATTGAAACTCTTCGCTCTGAAGGGCGGCGCGACAACATCCAGGGCTATCAACGGCCGCAAACCTCACGAGCCAAACGCTGAAGAGAAACATCTGGATTGTAGGGCGAGCCAGGGTGTGCATGGAAAAGCTGTTTTCTTCGGCTTTTCCACGATCTATACAGTTTGCTCCTGACGTTATCATCTCTCACTCTGTGTATCTCTGTTTCGCCTATGCGAAGCAACACCGATGCTCCCACGTAGAATGGCGGCCCAGCTCACGGTTTGTGCTTGTTTGGCAGCAAAGCCTGTCGTTCCAGAGAGTCTGCTCTCAAATGCCAGGTCTTTTTCCAGCCAGTTACTGCGTGGAAGACAGGCAAAGACTGTCATGTCCACTGGCATCTCCGCGATACTTGCCGCACTCTGTCGACAGTTCCAATGCCAAAGCAGCTTGTAGCAAACAGCGGTAGTGGCGGAACATCAAGTTTCCGGCGGACTTCGCAGCCCAACGACCTGGTGGTGATTAGCTACTGCAACTTCAGACACCACACACACACACCATATTTGCCGCGTAAAGTCGAGAGTTCTGCGACAGTGTCGACAGTGTCACGTTTACGGCCATTCGGCAACCATAGGAACCAACCAAGCATGCCTGATGACATGATGATCGACTGAGTTGAGAACACCCTTCCGATGCTGACGCGTCGGCAAGCCCCGCTTCATCCTATCATGTCGCATCACCTTGTCGTGCTGGGGCCGAGGAACACAGTTGCGTTACAAGCAAGCTTCGCAGTATGCACAACGGCTAGACGATTGGATATAGGACCACCGCTCCGAGATTCATGCAGAATATCTATGGTGGGCCGACTCGCATCGGGCAGTCATAGACTTCCGCGGTACCTTGCTTGCCTTCATGCTGGAGTGTATCCCTGCAGAGGTGTTTTGCTTATTGGTCCATGTCGCGGTCAACCAGACCACGCTGAGCAAAGGCAAACACAATTCGGGAGCTGAAGCCTGCCGTGCTTGCTTTCTAGCGGCACACACCAGGAGTCCAGCATGCTCTGCTGTTGAAAGAAGCACAGGTTGACATTAGCGTGCACAAGTTTTAAATTAAAAACTCGCTTTGAGGGCAAAAAGAAGGCCTTGGTGGCGGATTCTATTCATCGTCTCGCCTTTTGTTGGGCTGCCCCGTGCGACTTTTTCAAGTCAACGGCTGTGCCCAATTCACAGGACCCGCCAGAAGCCGTTTCGAGCAGGTAAGACACACTCAAGTAGTGCATCTCATCGCTGATGAGGCGCTGCGGGAAGCTGGGATGCAGAACCGTTCTCGCCTCACCTCGGGGTTCGTGCGCAAAGCGCTACACCCTGGTCTCCAGGTGCCGCGATAAATCGCATGGGGTGGTCGTCGTCATTATGTGGTCTGCTCATGTCGGAATGTGTTGCAAGAGATGCTTCCCTAAACCCTAAACCGTACTTGCCCTTTGTTCAGTTGTACACGGGAACCCCCAAAACTAGCATACGCTTTTGTTGAAAACTACCGTTTGTAATCGTATACTTTCTAACTGTTGGATTTTATGTAATTGGAAGCCTTAGTCCTACCTGTCGGGTATCATGGGGAACTAAAGGTTAACCTTTAGATTATATAGGGACTATACTGCCCAAAAAAGGTCAAAGGTTACCTACTCGACTACTAGGTAGTACAGTAAAAAGGGCTCATGGAGCCCCTGGGGCTCAGCTTTACACGGAAAGCTGAGCAAATTAGCCTTCTGAATCCTGCGCCCTTCTATAGCCAGAGCAAAACCTTCCGAGGAGAACTGTACCCTCAACCCTGGACACTCAACCCTAAACCCCAAATCCCTCAACCCTTACTAACTCCTAAACCCTCAACTCTAAACTCTAAACCCCAAGTTCCTAAACCCTACAGTAGAACCCAGAAAGTTGGAACATCCTTATCCCCATGCCCTTAAGCTAAAGTATAAGGGGATCCTAGCACTAATCCTCCTAAAGCCATGTTCCAACTTTCTGGGGCTCACCACTTGGAGGGTCGGGGGACTTAGAATGTAGGTAGTAAGTAGACTTGTAAGTACCTTAAAAGGGACCCTAATTGGGGTTATGATACTTATAAGTCCCTAAAACAAGCAGTTACTAAGTCCCCCGACCCTCCAAGCATAAACCGAACCCGAAGTCCGGCTTCTACTAGGCCTGCCCCTAAAAGCCCCAAACCCCAATATTAGCCCCAATCCCTGAACCCCTAAATCCTATCTAAACCCTCAACCCTAAACCCCTAAATCCTAAAACCCCTCTAAACCATAAACCGAACCCGAAGATAGAGAGAGAAGGCGCTGAGGCAAAGCCCCGCCATGATCGCAGTGGTTGGACTGAAATACAGCGCCATGAGAACGCAGCAGGTCGAGATGCCGTACTGCCTGGGTTTGATAAGTGTGACTTTGACGATGATGATGATGATGATTCTTGAAAGTTAAAACTATGTTCATAAATGTTACTATGTCTATGAGTTTATGATGCTTATGATAGTTGTGAATCTAATATTCTGAGGTTAAGGGCTCAGGATTTACAGGGTTTAGCGTTCAAGACTTGAGGTAGATATTCCGTACTGCCTGGAGCGGTTTCAGGGCGCATCTTACGGCTTTAAGGCTCAAGTTTTATCGTTGAGGGAGGGGTCGTAGGGGCTCAGTGTGCTCGCCGTGGTAGCAGGGGCAGCAGGAATAACACTAATAATAGTATTAGAGTAGTAGCAGTAGTAGTAGTAGTAGTAGTAGTAGTAGTAGTAGTAGTAGCAGCAGCAGCAGCAAGTGCTAAGCGGTAAGGCATAGGTAGACGCTCAGAACTAGATGTTTAGGTATGTTTCCGGGGCGACCTACCCCCTGCAATGGAGTGCCGAAGCCTGAAATCCACATCAGATGCCTGAGTAAGTGCTCGTGTCATGGAGCTTTCTGTACCACATTGGCCTGAAGGAATCTCAGGGAACACTATCACGACTGTTCAAGCCTCTTTTTGAGAGACCGGAAAGCACAAACTCGAAGCATCCTCTTGAACTCTAATTGGCGTGTACCTGGGAGTTTCCAAGAATAGGGGACCCTAATATGGTACCCGAAATAGTAGGATCCTTCTTATAAGGACCCCAATATAAGGTACCCCTAAATTTCGGAAACTCCCAACCCTTTATAGAGCCCTTCAAAGGTACCCTTATAGTACCCTTATGGTAACCCTTTAAGGAACCCTAAGTACTTAAAGGAACCCCTAATTTTCGGAAACTCCTACCTGTGAATCAGCAAGCCAACGCTTTAAGGGCTCGGCCACGGTCTGGGGTTTAGGGTTTAGGGGTTTAGGTTTGTTTTTTTGAACGCCTTTGTTTAGGGTTTAGGGTTTAGGGCCTAGGGTTTAGGGTTTAGGGTTTGGGGCTTTGGGTTTAGGGCTTTGGGTTTAGGGTTTAGGGCTTTGGATTTAAGGTTTAGGGCTTTAGGGTTTAGGGCTTAGGGCTGTAGGGTTTAGGGCTTAGGCTTTGGATTTAAGGTTTAGGATTTAGGGTTTAGGGCTTTGGGTTTAGGGTTTAAGGCTTTGGATTTAGGGTTTAGGGTTTAGGGCTTATAAGTTTAGGGCTTTGGGTTTAGGGTTTAGGGCTTTGGGTTTGGGAGTAAGAGTCTATAGTAGGGCTGCTATTAAGGTCCAAATATATCTATATTATGAATATTATACAACTGCTACTGAGTGGGGGCCGTATTCAAGGTATACCTAAAAGCTGCCGGGACTTGGAAGTATATTATCAGCGATGCCTTCATTAACCACACTTAGGGAACCGATAGCCCTAGCTACGGCCTGGTTACTAAGTTTCCTGCCCCGTGAGTACCCCATAAACATCCCGTACAAATATGCATCGCCTGGGGCTTTGGGACCTCCAGGGAGGTTGTTTTTGGAGTCCTCCCCGAAGTCACGAAAACCACAAAACCCCAAACCCAAGACCTTAAATCCCAAACCCTAAACCCTAAGCCCTAAACCCTAAGCCCTAAGCCCTAAACATCCCTAAACCCTAAACCCTAAGCCCTAAGCCCAAGAGCCCAAAACCCTAAACCCTAAGCCCTGAACCCTAGATCTGGCTTTCGAAACCTTCCCAAGAGCCCAATACCCCTTATTTAAGGAATATAGCTTAAATCATAATCTGAAGCCCCTGATAATTTAAGCCATATTCCTTAATTAAGGGGTATTGGGCTCTCTGGGTTCCGACCCAACCCTAAGCCCTAAACCCTAAACCCCGAACCCTATAAGCCCTGAACCCTAAGCCCTAAACCCTAAACCCTAAGCCCTAAACCCTAAGCCCTAAACCCTATAAGCCCAAAACCCTAAGGCCAAAGCCCTAAACCATGAGCCCTAAGCCCTAAACATCCCTGAACCCTACATCTGGCTTTCGAAACCTTCGGACCCATAGTCCTCTTGAGCCATATTCATTAAGGAATATTCCCTAAAGTATAGTAGGATCCCTAATTTAAGGAATATTCCTTAATTAAGGGGTATTGGGCTCTCTGGGTTCCGACCCACGTCCTCTTGCAGCCTCGAGGCATCGAGACGATGTGCACGCCCCGCCACTTGAAGGTGCTCATGGACCTTCCCAGGGACTAGGATACCCAGTAAAGGATTTAGGGTTTAGGGGCGCCATCTAACTTAGTAGGGTTCCTTGAAGGGCTCCTTTAAGGGATCCTTTAGGGTTTAGGGTTTAGGGTTTAGGGATCTATAAGGGAACTAGGATACCCAGTAACCTAAGAATAAAAAGGCCTCTCTTTTGGTATTGGGTAACTTTATAAGGAACCTAGGACTACAAAAAGGGAATAAGGGTACTACTGGGCATCCTAGGAGAGCCCAAAAAACCCTCTCAAGTAAGGAATATCTAGGGTTCCTTTCAGGGATCTATAAGGGATCTATAGGGTTTAGAGTTTCAGGGATTCAAATACCCCATTAATTAGGGAATATAGCTTAAATCAGGATATGAAGCGCCCGCCTATGCGAAGGTCACTTGCATTGCTATCACGGGCCTTCATACCCCAGAAGGCATGCAAAAAGCTTTCCTTCTGAAACAACCCAAAACGCACAAATGCTGCAAACTAAACAACTACCGCAGAGCCATAAAGAAGCCCTAGAGCCTCATGATACCCCTACAGAACCCTTAACAAGGCCCCCCAAAAGCACATAAGCAAAAACTAGGATAGGAATATCCAATATAAACCAGAGGATATTTTGGGACATAATAGAGCGTAGTTGGGGAGCCTAGGTAGCTTTGGGCTTCGACTAGAGTTTAAGGTTTAGGGTTCATGATTTCAAGTTCGGGCAACCCCCGACCACACCGAGGTGCTGATAGGACATGAGCGTCTTCTTCAGGAAGGACCAACCAGTGTTCCTGATGTCTGATTTTGGGGTGTCGTGGTTCTTTCTTAGGTTTTTGTGTGCAGTGCTTATACTGAAAGAAAGGCTCATGGGACTTAGTAAGTAAGGTTATAAGTAGGTTATAATTAGGATAACCCCCCTTAGGGGACTTCTAACCCCAATTATAACCTGCTTACTAAGTCCCATGACCCTTTAAGTAGGGTTTAGGAACTTTTTTGCCTAGCGAGCACGGGCCTGCGTGGAGGTTCAGAAAGTCATGCTCACGGCTGAGGGCCTCTTTCCCTGTGATACCTCTGCAGCTGGCACAGGAACTTGTGCAGGTATACTTCGGGAGCCCAACAGAGGTCGAAACCCTTACCCTGACGGCTTGGGTTTCTTTGCTGCACTTAGAACTACAAAAATTAGAATTTCAGCTTCTTCTTAAATTAAAAAAACGAAAGGTTTAAAACCAAAACTCAAAAAAACTAAGTGCCCCTAAGGTTTCGGAATTCGGTGGGGGGTCTGGTTCCGGGCTAAGGTTGGGGCTTAGGATTTCAGGGTCTGCTGTACTTAAAGGCTCATGGGACTTAGCAAGTAAGGTTGTAAGTAAGTTATAATTAAGATAACCCCACTTAGGGGACTTCTAACCCCAATTATAACCTACTTACTAAGTCCCATGATCCAACTACGGCCTCAAAATATCCCCTCAAGAATGCGGGTGTCTCTTTTCAAGTCCGTTTCTTGCAGGATACGCCAAGCAGAAAGGGCATAAAGACACAGCCTTGACACCAAGTAAAAGACCTGTACAATGCTTTTAAACCCAAAGCCTTATGAAAGCCTTCTAAAACCCTCTGTTGGTTTCCTCTCTGCCTGCCTCCAACGAAAATAGACAAACATCTTTTGAGTTGGTATCCCTACATGCTACGCCGTAAACCCCAAACCCAGTGTATGAAGATACCCTACTGCCTAAACACAAATCACAACAACACAAAGAACAAATTATGCCTGGGGAGAGCCCCGGGATCATGAAACGACCCTGAACCACAAAGCCTTTGCCCGGACTTTACCCAAGACCCAAGCCCAAACCCTAAACTTCAGGACCCTTTACCTTAAACCCTTATGGGTGGTCGTCAAGATTAGGCTACATATTAGGTGCCGCAGTATATTAAGGGCCCAAAACGGGACCCTAATTTTGACAACCACCCTTATACAACCCTAGAGGAAGCCTCCCCACCCTGTAATAGTGACTATGAGGATTATATTAGGGCCCTATTATATTCCTATTATATCACTACAGGGTGCCCCTTCTAAGGTTTAGGGTTTAGGGAGCCCGGCCCTGCACCAGAACCCCTTGGGCTTATGTTCAAAGCTTGAATTAATTCCGAGACGAGCACGAGGATCACAAAGAAAACTTAAGGCTATTTTAAGAGGCCCCTAGATAGATAAACTAATACAGAACTCATACTACCATAGCAAATAACATACTAAGCACAAAACATACACCAACAAGCAAAAACAATCCCTGGGAGAGCCTGAGGAGCATGAAGAAACAAGAAAGTCTTTCTAAGAAACCCTTCGGTACTTGAGGCCATATGCTGAATAGAAAAGAGAAACGAATAAATCCCATAGGAGAGCCCGAGACCTCAAGCCCTCGAAGAAAAAGTGAGGTAAGTATCTATTGAAAATCAGAAACAAAAAACCTGAGGAACTTAAGTATCGACCGAAAACTGGCAAAAAACAACACGCCCTTGGAAGAGCCCGAGGATCATGAAGACGAAGAAAGCCAAAAGCCTTTTTATTTAAGACAACCGGAAGCCTCTTTACGACGAAATGCAGGCTCCTTATCAGAGACTGAGGATCATGAAGAATCCCTCAAGCCTTTTCAAAAACACATGAAACCTTTTTTTTTTTTTAATAAACCTCTAGGTTCCGTAGGAGAGCCCGAGGATCATGAAGAGACCTCCCAGAAACCACTTGGGCACGACGGAGCCGATGGGGAAGCCGAAGATGAAGAGGCTGCCGGCGACCTGTGGGCTCCAAGAGAGATCGAGCTTTAAAGGGATCTATAGGGTTCCTTTAAAGGGATCTATAGGGTTCCTTTAAGGGGATTTATAGGGTTCCTTTAAAGGGATCTATAGAACTATAAAATGAACTATAAGGGTGGTTGTCAAAATTAGGGTCCCTTTTGGGGTACCCTAAATATTAGGGCCCAAACAGGGAGCATAATTTTGATAACTACCTATAAGGGGTTATGTATTCTTATTCATCATTCATGCCCCAGGGATTTATAGGGTTACTTTAAAGGGATCTATACTACTATTTGCTTAAGAACCCCCCCAAAAAATAAAAAAATGTATTCCTTATGGGGGTAATATAGGGATTATTATTTTTATTTTTTGGGGGCTTCTTAAGCAAATAGTAGTTCAGGAACTATGGTTGAAGGCCCAGGGGACTTAGTAAGTCGGTTATAAGTGGGGTTATAATTGGGGTATGTAAACTTAGGGTACTAAAAACTCTACGTAGAATCCAAGAGCAAAAGGAGGGACCCTTAATAAGGACCCCTGGGTATATACCCTTAATATAGCTATTATATACCCATTATATGGCCCATTATAGGGTAGGGGTCCCCATTAAGGGTCCCTCCTTTTCCCCTTGGAAGGGCGTTAACATAGGGGCCTTCATAATTAGAGACATGTTTTAGGGTATGTTATATTACAACTCTTACAAGGAGCCCACGGAATAGTGTTGGTTGGGGATTCTGTCTTTCTTGTCGCGACTCTTTCTCTTTTCCCAGGTAAGCACACAGCAGCTGCGAGGGATTGGGGTTTAGGGGTGAGGGTTATAGGGTAGGGTTTACGGTTTCAGGCCTATAGGGTTTCGGGTTTGGGGGTTAGGGCTATGCCGACGCTCTCAGCGGGGCTGGTTTGGGGTTTTCGAGGTTTAGGATCTTTTACTTCGAGCTGCAACCCATGAGCTCTACAGATCCTGATGGTTTATGCAGTTTTCGTCATCAACCTTAAGGATCAAATGTCCCTTAACAGTAGCGGCCCCATATCCTTATACTATGAAGCCTGAGATGGTATCCTGATGGCTTATGGAGTATTTGTCATGAACACTTAGAGGATCATGGGGCTTAGTGAATATGGGTTATAATTGGGGATATGAGTCCCACTTGTGGGGTTATCCTACTTACAACCTTACTTGCTAAGTCCCATCAGCCTTTAAGTAGACCCTAATCCTGAACTCTTGAAGGGAGCCCTGTTGTATGACCCTATAGTACGCTTAAAAGGAACCCTATACCTTACTTACTAAGTCCCATGAGCCTTCAAAGTGCTCATCATCAACACTAGGCTGTTCCGCTACCCACTGGGAGAAATTATAGGCTTTTTTAGGCTTCTTGTTTTATAATAGGAACCCAGAAACCTGAAAGTAAATAAGTGTACCTCTGAACAGCCTGGAACAGGGTTTCGAGTTCAAGGTTCCGGGTGCCGGACTTCGAGTTTCGGGTCGCCAGTTCTGGATGCAGTTTGTAGGTTCAAGGCTTCGCGCTGCAGGCTTTTAGGGCTTCTAGGGTTGAAGGTTTACGGTTTATGGGATCAACTTTAGGGGTTTATGGTTTAGGGTTTGCAAACCTCTCAAACCCTCTACCAGTCCCGGCCAGCGCGATCGTCAGCACTGCGATGCGGTGCGTGCCGCCATCCTCGCGCAGCCTCTGCTAAAGAAGCATCGGGCTTTGGGGCGGGTTTAGGGTTTAGTAAGTAGGTTTCAATTGGGGTTATAAGTCCCCTAAGTGGGGTTATCCTAATTATAATCTACTTATAAGCTTACTTACTAAGTCCCATGAGCCTTCAAGCATTTTGTATTATTCAACAGCCATTGAACCTTCGATTACTTTGGAAGCCTTTCTACAGTCTGCAGTCACGCATTCCGAATGGCGCCAAACGGGTATTGAATTGGCCTGAGTTCTTGCTGAAACAAAAGTACTTGTTTAAGTCTTCCAAGGATTTGACCCTAGGTTTCTTGCGGAACAGGTGCTGCATCGATCTGCTTGTGTGGAAAGAGTCTTAGGAATCCTTATAGTTCCTTTGTAGTTGTAGGGGCCCTGCTACAGACGATCCTACAAACTTATTATTTACCTCTATACTAATTAGGTCTTGCTAGGGTCCCTCACTGGCTTTCCGAAACTACCATCTTCGCCCAGAAATATCTCCAATACGCAGGGTTGCGGGTGTGCAGACCGCAGCGCTTAGTGCAGGGGTTTACGCTTTCATAGGGTTCAGGAGTCTGGGGGAGAGTGGCATTTGAACTTCTAGGATGAGTTTTCAACCGCGACACTATGCTCAAACCTGACTTCCGTGCCTTCGAAACCATGAAACAAGGGCCTAAACACTAAAATTGTACTTTGCAGTAGTGTATACGCCGTTAGTCTTTAAATCAAATCAATTCTAAACGCTATGCCCTAAACCCTAAGCCCTAAACCGTACAAGCCTCAAACACTGGCCGAGCAGCTGGATCACCGAGAACTTGTGGAAAATCAGGTTCCCGCCGGTGCAACCAAGAAAGAGGCTGGCCTGAACGCATCATGGGTTTAGGGTTTAAGGTTTAGGGTGTGTAACAGTATGCGCGCGGTGGGTGCGCGTTTTACTTTAGGAATAGAGGGCGCACCCACTAATCGCGCGCTTGCGTCAGCATGTAGTCCCGCCCCAACCACCCCAACTATTCTCAATTAGGGTTTAGGGTTCACCCCCCAAACCCCCCTCAAGGGGGGCTTTCTTGCTTTCTGCTTCCTTTCGCAGCTTGACATGTAAACACCAATATTTCTTCAGAAATCACAACAGAAATGGTTTCTGTCGGGTTGTGGGTCCTCGCGGCCTGTGCCGGCCGCTCGACGTAAAGCAAGGGTTTCCAACAGCTTGCATCTCGCACCCTGTAAGGGGTGCTCGAAGTGTGAACAAGGTAGGGCAGGGCAAGGAGAGGTCAGGAACCAGGCGAGGGCAGGCATGAAGAACAGGCAGTGCAGGGGCAAGGAGGCAGGAGGCAAGGGCAGGAGGGCAGGGCAGTAGCAGGGCCAGGGCAGGGCAGGGCAGGGCAGGGCAGGGCAGGGCAGGGCAGGGCAGGGCAGGGCAGGGCAGGGCAGGGCAGGTACCCCCCCAGACCCCCCCAAAAAAGGGCTGAGCGAATCAATGAGGGATTTGGGGTCTATCTTTACTGCCTAACGGCAGAGAGGTCATTAGCGGGGCGGCGTCACTACAGTCCCCGAAAACCGGGAGGCTTTACCCTCCCTCACCGTTCTGACGGGACGCTCGGTCGGGGACCTCGGTCGAAGCCTCGAGCGCCCATGTAAATGGTCAGCGGCGCTCTCGGCAGTTTAGGGTTTAGGGTTTAGGGTTATAGGGTTTAGGGATTCAAAGATTAGGATCTATTCGGGGCTAGGGTTTAAGGTTTAAGCTAGGGTTTAGGGTTTAGGGTAGCTTAGAAACCCACCCAAAAGTGAACTTCTGAAGCCCAACCCATAAACCCTAAACCCTACACCATAAAAGTCAACCTCTTGGACCCGACGATAAGAACCCTCAGGAAACCCGAAAAGTCAAGGGGAGCTTGAACAACGACAGTTTAGGGTTTAGGGTTTAGAGCCAAGAAGTCAGGGGGAGCTTGAATAACCACGGTTTAGGGTTTTGGGGAAACCCCATCCCTAAACTCTGAAAACCCTAAACCCCAAACAGTGAATTACTTCAGGGACTCGACGGAATCTCTGTGAAAGGGTCAGAGAGAGTTCTGTGAGATCCACAGGGGTCTATTGGGCCCTATAAGCGGTCTTAGTTGCTGAGTTCATAAGCACCAAAAAGTGAACATGTTCAGCTTTCTAGTGGGCAACATTATCCCAAAAAGTGTAAAGTGTATCCACTCAGCTGCTAAGGGGTTCATGGATTAAGTGTCTTGGTGGACCTCTCGCAACTAGGACGGAGTCCTCGCACAAGTAGAAAGGGGCTGTCATAGGATGCAATATGGAATCTCGCAGTTCTATGGGGTTTAGAGGGGCTCCTTGAGGGTCTGTGAGAGGTTTCATGACACTACCACCGCAAGGTCCCTCGGTGTTGAACAGCCCATACTACAGTACATCCCCCAACCCCAAACCCTGTGGCAATTACTCTGGCCAGTCAGTATTGTGCAGCTGGGAACGGGAATCGACAGGTTCAGGGCTCACAGTTCAGGCTTAAGATCTTCAGGGTTTAGGGATGCGGAGTATAGGTTTTGGGGATGTAGGACCGCAGTCAGGGAACTGCACCGACAGTCGTCAACTCGGCATTGAAATCCAACGGGTCCTTGGACATTGGAGGTCACGACTTACAAGCTTGACACGGCATGCAGAGCTGGTCAGGATGTGCTGAAATCCTACAACCGTTCCGCTTCAGGCTAGGGGGTCCAGGTGCCCAGGGCCGTGAGAACTTCCGGCTCAGGTTGCATGTTGCCCTCCGCCCTTGAACCAGAAAACCGTGTCTGAAGCCTACTACGGTCTAGGTATTTTTGGGTTTAGGATTTAGGATGGTTTGAGGCATTTGAGGTTTAGGAGCTCTCTCAACACCTTACGAATAAAATCCGCGAGTTCCTTGCTTCTCCCAGCTGGTGCCACATGGTGAATGAACTTATAGGGTTTAGAGCTTATCGGTTATGAGGTTTTGGGCGACTTCATCCATGCACGCCAAACTGAATTCATGCACCAGGGTTTTGAGAATGCGGCTCAATGACGGCCAAGAGAAAACAAAGCACTGCGGATGTATTCAATCTTCCTGATAAATATGCTATTACATGCTGCATACAGAAAGCACAACATAAAAGTATCTGTCTATATGTACATATATGTATGTACCTACCTATCTGTCTGTATATCTATCTATCTATCTACCTATCCATCCACATTGATATAAGTATGTAATGTATATGTTTGTGTATATGAATGGGTACAAGTACAGGTACAGGTGTAGGTGCATAGGCAATTTTATGTATAGGCATAGGCATAGGTGCATGCATGTTTGCACTTGTGCATGTGCTTATGTGCGCGTATGTGTGTGTGTGTGTATGTGTGTGTGTGTGTGTGTGTATGCATGTATGTATATATGTCTGATTATGCATGTATGTCAAGTATGCACACGCTCAGAAAACTGACAGGTGGCACCATCGAAACTGATCTAGCCGCAGAAATAAGTATACTATACTCAACTTAGAACATAAGAAAAATAAAATTTTAGCTGTTTCTGAGGATTATAATAACAAAAAATTAAATATATTTCCAAGTACCCCTAAGTATAGCCCAGCATCATCGGGTGCAGGATCACCCGCAGGGCCAGTAGGGTAGCGGCCAGTGATTGCAAGCGCACCTAGCCTGGAAGAACAAGTTGGATCTGTGATTCAGAGCAACCCCCAAACTCCAAATCGTGAGTAATAGCAACCCAAATCCCACAGCTTAACCATTGCATGGATCACCATGCTGTTTGCGTTGCCTTAGTAGGATCCCTGTCATAGTTAAGGGAAACCCGAAGCCCTGTCCCGTTTGAGTCTGCGCGAATATCAATCCGAGGTTTACCGTGCACAAATAGGATCTCTCGGCCCTAGGCCGTGCAAAGTAGCTTCTGAAAGTTCCTTCTTCGTGTTATCATGGGAGCCCACAATATGAAAGCAATAATGGGTCCTACCTCAGAGCCCAGAATACCCCAATCGAACCCCTAGTGAACCCTGGACATCCCCTATACAAAATGGACAACCCCACATATACGTATATAACACAAATATATGTATATAATAATATGAACAACCCACCAGCCCTAAACAAATCAACGTGGAAGACCCGACAGCTTGACCCAGCCCAATACCCCGTAAGTAAGGAGCATACCTAACATCATAAGACTCAACCGCCTACAATTTATTAAAGTACATACCGCTTAAACCCGAAGCCCTCGTATATTCTGAAATTCCGTAATTGACGGGTATTGGGGCCCTCTGGACTCGGCACTTCTGTTGGTTCGTTCCTCTCTACGGTCCACACACTGCAGTACTCCCTTGTGAATTCCATGGCCTGGGGGACGCTATGTCAGATGAGTGCTGCGGGCTCAGAGATGAGGCTGGTGCTATGCGTTTGAGAAGCTCTCGCTCTCCCGCTCTCCCCCTCTCTCTCTCTCTCCTCTCTCTCTCTCGCTCTCTCTCTCTCTCCCTCTCCCTCTCCCTCTCCCTCTCCCTCTCTCTCTCTCTCTCTCTCTCTCTCTCTCTCTCTCTCTCTCTCTCTAACTCTCTCTCTATCTCTATCTCTATCTCTATCTCTATCTCTATCTCTATCTCTATCTCTATCTCTCTCTCTCTCTCTCTCTCTGTGTTGATCAGTAAACCCTAAACCCTAAACCATCTAAGACCCACGCAACGAACGTATCGGGTTAGCATAACGCGCGGAAAAAACAACATGGACCCTCGAAGGGAGTTTGCCTTCGACACCTGCCCAAGCTAGTTGTTCAAAGTAATGTAGGGGCCTTATTAATCCTGAATAATTAGAATAGGGTTCTGGAGCCCACTATACTAATTATAAAACCAAAGATATTCTTTGCGCCAGGCTGCATTGTACAAAGGATGGCCATGGCGACTAGCGCCACGATGTCCAGAGACACGCAGATTTCCCAAACCTAGGTGGGTGGTTCTTCAAATCGGTGGCCACTCCTTGTAGTTAACCGTTCCATGACACATTGTTCGGGGGTCCTAAACCCCCGAACAACCCTTGTAAGACTTATATTGCCAGCCCTGACGAGCAAGAAGGACCATGGCCCCTAAACCCTAAACCCTGTGTGGTTTTCTCTCCGTTTTGTAAGTGGTTGAAGAAGACAAGGTATACACTCCTGGGCCTCGGGCACTTCAGGGGTTTCAGGGCTCTGAAGCATGGGACTTAGTAGGGTTTAGGGTTCCTTTTAAGGCATTTTAAGGGTACTATAGGGTTCTATTGCTGAGTTCATAAGCCCCAAAAAGTGTACACTTTCAGTTTTATAGTAGGTAATTATTATCCCAACAAGTGTAAAGTGTATCCACTCAGCTACTAAGGTATATAGTAATGAACTTCCATTGCATAATGATTGCCTTCATGAGCTTTATTGAACAACTCTCTTCTTCAACAGCCGGCCCCAAAAAGTTCAAACTTTCTAAAATAGAGCTAACATATAAGGCCAAAAAGTTTAAAGTTCCCTCGTTCACTATGTAAGACAATATCCCAAAAAGTATCAAAGTGCAGTACACCAGAACCCAGAGAATACTCACTTCTAAACCCTACTAAATCCCTAAACCTTTAACCCGAAACCCTGAACCCCAAACCCTAAAACCCTATAGATCCCTGACGGGAACCCTTAAAGGAACCCTTCACGGAACCCTTAGATGAACCTTCAAAGGAAACCCTCAGGTACTTAAAGGCTCATGGGACTTAGTAAGTAAGGTTATATAAGTAGGTTCTAGTTAAGACTTATAACCCCAGTTACAACCTACTTATTAAGTTCCATGAACTTTTAAGTAAAGCATGCCGAAGCTGCAGCACATACCGTGTAGGGTTTAGGGGTTGTTTTTGTAGGTTCCTTTAAGGGTTCTAGAAGTTTGTTAGTAGGAGTTCGGGTTCAAGGTTTCCGGGCCAAGGATTTCGGGTTTGGGGGGTTGGGGGGTTAAAGTTTAGGGGTCTCTGGGTCTAGGGTGTAGGGAGCATTGTTCACAAACCATGAGGATTTATCTGGACCCTTCAAAACCTGAATTTTTCAGAGCTCCTTACTATGACTTCCTTTTATATGTCGTTAAATGGGATCGGGTTTTTGGGGTTTGGGTAGGGCTTGAGGCTTAAGGTGTAGTGCCCATAACCCCAGACGGTTCACTCGCTTCTTCAATCACAAGGTTAGGTAGACCAAGAGTACGGTTTAGGGTTAGGGCTCAGGGTATTTACTATCAACTTCAAAGAGGTGAGCAGCATCTGGATGCTACACCTACCCAGACCTTCCAAAACCCCTTAATTAAGGAATATACCTTAAATTATAGTAGGATCCTTAATATGATTTAAGGTATAGTCCTTAATTAAAGGATTTTGGAAGGTCTGGGTACACTCGAGCCATCGGTTCTGAATCCTGAACCCCACTACCCGGAAGCCGAACCCTTAAACCTCAACCTGGCCTGCTATGCCCTGAAACAGACGCTGAATCCTAGATCTAGACCCCTTTCAACTCTCTACGTAATTCCATGACCAGGCCCAAAAAGTTCAAACTTTCTAGCATGGACCAAATATAAGGTTATAAAGTTTAAACTTCACCTATTTGCTATCTAAGTTCAAGCCGGGCGCTGTGTGGAGATCCACGTCGGAGAGGCTGTAGGTCGTCCAAATGCTCAAGGCCCCTGGCGACTAGACGTTGGCATGTACTTAAGGGCTGAGGAGACTTACTCAGTAGGTTAGAAATGGGGTTATAAGTCCCTTAAGTGGGGTTATCCTAATTGTAACCTGCTTATAACCTTACTTACTAAGTCCCATGGGCCTTTTAGTACATATAGGCGCTGCAAGTAGGCTTACCTTGCTTGTAACATCCCTCAGTCCGTGAGCCTTTAAGAAGAGACTTAGAGTTCTGGGGTTTAGAGGCCCAGACCTTCCAAAATCCTTTAGTCAAGGAATATACCTTAAATCATATTAAGGATCCTACTATAGTTTAAGGTATATTCCTTAATTAAGGGGTCTTGGAAGGTCTGGGGGCTTAAAGTAAAACTACTTAGGTCCTCTTGTGGCTTGGGGTGTCACCTACCCAAAGACTCCAACCTACTCCGCCCCCCCTCAATTTTAAGTCACGGATTCTTTGAGAGTGCCTGTGAGTAAATTCAAGGCTTCTGGAGTCTTTAGCGATGCTTGGGCGACTTAGGTTGAAACGACATTCATAAGTGCTCTGAACCCCAAACCCCTGACCCGAAGCCGTAAGCCACAAAGCCCTTGCACTTCACCCCAACCCTAAACCCTAAACCCTGAACCCTAAACCCTACACCCTAAACCCTAAACCCTAAACCTTTAACCCTAAACCCATAGAAAGCCTTCGCTTCCGTTGCTGGGATAGGTCCAGCCATGCTCCGCCAGAGAGCTCATGCTCCTGAGGTCAGATCGACTATACGGGGATATGTATTCTTATTCATCATTCATGCCCCTAGGGATTTATAGGGTTCCTTTAAAGGAATCTATAGAGCTTATGGGGCTTTTTAAGGGTGTAGGGTTTAGGGGAACTTGTCGGGAACTATACTTACAGGCCCGGGGGACTTAGTAAGTCGGTTATAAGTAGGGTTATAATTGGGGTATGCAAATTTAGGGTACTAAAAACTCTACGTATAATCCAAGAGCAAAAGGAGGGACCCTTAATAAGGACCCCTAGGTATATACCCTTAATATGGCTATTATATACCCATTATATAGCCCATTATAGGGTAGGGATCCTTGGGTCAGATCCGAGGTTCAGGAACTACAAGGGGATAATAGAGGGGCCTTAATAATTAGAAGAGGGTCTTGGGGCCCATTATAGTAGACTTATAATAAGGCACCCCCCCAAAATAGTATTAGTGAATTAGAGGTTCAGGAACCATGAGGGTGGTTGTCAAAATTATGATCCGTTTTGGGGTACCCTCAATTTTTTGCCGTACTATATTAGGGACCCCAAAAAGGGGACCATAATTTTGATAACTACCCATAAGGGGATATGTATTCTCATTCATCATTCCTGCCCCTGCTTACATCCTGCACCCTGAACCCGAAAGCTGTCTACAGTATGTAGGCTCTACACGCGGCACGTTAACAACTGCAAAGCGTAAACACTGCAAATTGTTGATACTATTCTGATTCTCCAGATTAGATTAGGTCTTTTCGGTTATTGACCTCATATCATGGATTCTATTCTGATTCGGATAACTCTATTCGATTATTGACTTGACCAGGGCTGGCGGTGTAGAGTTTAGGGCTTCGGGTTTAGAACAACAGTTGATGAGATCATCTCTTCTGGCTCCACACCCAAAATCTTCAATCCTCCCTAAACGCTAGATTCTAGCCACGGCTCACGTCCAGGCACATGACCACGACGTAGAACAAGAGCAGTGGGGCAAGCTGGCAAACCAAAGCCGCATACTTCTTCACCTGAGCTCGAAGGTTTAGAGTTGTAGAGTTTACAGCGCATGCGGTTCAGGGCTTTCCGGCTTAAGGGTTTTAGGTTAAGGGTCTAAGCACTCCCTAAGCCCTAAACCTAAGCTTCAAACCCTAGCTCCTTGAAATGGAAGGGATTTGTTTTGGTTTTCAGGTTTCAGGGGAAACCCCAAGCGGGCTCCTACTTGGGCCAAAGCCCTTCCTACCCTTGCCCTTGCATTCAGTATAATACAGGAAGGAGGTTGGAAGGGCTTTGGGGGTTAACTATGCTATACCTGTACTAAAAAACCACTACTAAAGAATATCTATATAAACAGATGTGATGAAAGCTGGGCTTCCGGAGAAAACGAAATTCTAATCCTAAGATGGGTATCCCAAAGCCAATGCAAAGCCTGTAAAGCCTACACCTTAGGTACGGCCTCCATACAGTAAGAGTCTATAATAGGGCTATTATTATTAAGGTCCTGCTATATCTAGATTATGAATATTATTCAACTATTACTGAGTGGGGGCCGTACCCAACCTACAGTCACCGTACCCGAAGACCATAGTCTCTCAGCGGGCCCCTTACAGTTCAAAGCTTCCAAGCCAGGCCAAATGTATAAAGCAAACATTTCAAAGTAGAACCCTTATAATTAGATCCCCTGAAGGAGCCCCTTTAAGGAACCCTAGCTACTAAGTCCCATGATCCATTAAGTAACCTAAACTCCCTGTAGAACCCCTGAAGCCTAAGCCAAACTTTTTAAAGTTCTACCATTGGCTATATAAGCGAATTACAGGAACTCAATGGTTCTCGAACGGGCCAAGATGACGATTTAGGCTGTAGGCTTCAGGGCTTATAGAGGGCTTACTATTAAAGCAAAAACCAGACCAAAACTTTTTGAACCCCAAAGCCCTAAACCCCTAAACCTATACTGAACCTAGACCTCTCTAGCCAAAGTCATAATTTTAGCTGTTTCTTCGAAAGTATAGGAAACCAAAATTAACAACTATTTCTCAGTACCCCTACGAAACTCTTACACCCCGAAACCCTACACCCCTACTTGAAGGCTCATGGGGCTTAGTAAGTAAGGTTAAAAGTAGGGTATAATTAATTAGGATAACCCCACTAAGGGGACTTATAACCCCAATTATAACCTACTTACTAAGTCCCATGATCCACTAAGTAACCTAACCCCCCCCCTATAGAACCCTTGTAGATCCCTAAACCCTAGACCCTCAAGGAACCCTTTAAGCAACCCTACTATAGACTTATAGATCCCGTAAATAAGGAGCCCTTTAAAGGTCCCTGCCGTCAGGCAGCGGCATCTTTGCGCGCGGGATGGCGCTCGACATCCAGGAGCCTGGGCGACGTGCGTTGATGAAATGCGTGCTTTCAATAAGGATACGGTTGATAATATAAACCCTGCATTACCCATAATAAGGAATATGCCGTTATTCCCGCAGTTTAGGGTCCTTAAGGTAATGCAGGATTTATGTCATCAACAGTAGGGTTTAGGGTTTCGGGGATAGGGTTTAGGGTGTAGGGTTTCAGGTCTAGTAGGCTTTCGGGATATGATTCTAGCGTGTGCTTCTCTGGTATACGGCTATCTAGATATCAGCGTTTCGTAAGGTGGCGAAAAGGCTTCCTGAGCCCTCAAAACCTGGAGCCATAAAGCCCTAAACCCCAGAGACCAAAGCCTTGATCCGCAAACTGCTTTACTTAGAGGATCATGGGACTTAGTGAGTAGGTTATAATTGGGGTTATAAGTCCCCTAAGTGGGGTTATCCTAATTATAAGCTACTTATAACCTTACTTACTAAGTCCCATGAGCCTTTAAGTAGGGTTCAGGGTTTTAGGGGGGGGTAGAGTCTAGCTCCAAACAAAGGCAGCGCTTGCATTCTCAAGACTATCCCAAGTCCCAAGCTTCAACAGCATCAAAAAAAAGTTCTCACAGACAGCATCATCAGAATCAACATGGTGACCACAGAAACCTCATGGAAGTTTCCGAAATGAGGGGTACGTTATTTTGGGGTCCTGATAATAAGGATCCTACTATTTAGGGTACTATATTGGGGTCCCCTATTTTCGGAAACTCCCTGTTCACCATCCCCATCATCACCATTGTCGTCGTCATCAAGACCAGCAAGGGCTCCTTTGCTATTGGTATGCGCAACAAGACCGTCAGTATCAATGGGTTTAGGGTTTAAGGTCTTCGTCGTCACTATGACAAGTATAGACCAGTCTGAGAAGCGTAGCGCACAAGCCCGGACCAACGCGGATGCAGATGAAATGCAACATCATGCACGCCACCTTGGGCGAAATTTGAGCATCTCATGCACATGGGTGGTTGTCAAAATTAGGGTCCCTTTTTGGGTCCCTGTTGTCATACGCCACCTATTATTTAGGGTACCCAAAAAGGGACCATAATTTTGACAACCACCCACATGTCTTCAAGAGAGACAGGTGCTATCCTGAACTTCAAACTCCCTAGACGCCCTCAGCCCCAAACCCAGAACCCTCAACCTCTAATCGCCAAGCAAGAGACCTCGAAACCTGGATCCTAAAATCCTGTATGCTCTTAAACCGGTGTCTCTGTCGCTCTCTCTTTATCTCTCTCTCTGTGTCAGCTTTCATTCAGGAGAAGCGATTTTTTCAGGTTTTGAAAAAAAAGGTAACAGGGCTTGAAGAGCTTCAGGCTTCTCGGGACAACAACCTAACGCCGACAAGACTTCGATCTGCCGGTAATGATAATGATGATAATGATAATAATGATAAAAATGATAACAACAAAGAATAGCAAAAGTAGCAATAATAATGGTAATAATAATTCAACCACTCGCACGAAGGCCCGAGGCCTTGCACCTATCAAGAGAATGATAAAGCCTCCCCACCCTAAACCCTAAACCCTAGGCCCCATCACCCTAAACCAGCCTAAATAGTCAACCCCAAACCATAACACCCTGACCCTCAAACCCTAACGTCCTAACACCCTAAACCCTAAGCCCCAAACCCTAACATCCTAAAACCCCGCTCCTTATTGAACGCTTCAAGATTTCTTTAATGATCCCTTTATGGAGCCCTTCAAGGAACCCGAACCTCCCCGAACCCCGGCCTAGACCTCACAGCCTCAAGTCCGAGAAGACCCGGTTTAGGGTTCAGGGAATCTAGGGTTTAGGGAATTTAGGGTTTAGGGAATTTAGGGTTTAGGGTGTTTTTTTGGTTTAGGGATTTAGGGAATCTAGGGTTTAGGGGGTTTAGGGTTTTTTTTGGTTTAGGGTTTAGGGATTTAGGGTTGTAGAGGCATTAGACTTTGGGGGTTAGGGGTTGTGGATTGCGGTTTCCCAGGCCCTCTCAAGGATCAACATGATGCACCCCTGGACCTCATGGAAGGCCCTGTCTTTCTTGGAGGGTAAGGGGACTTAGTAAGTAGGGGTCCTTAGATGGCTCCTGGGGATCCTTAAAGGAATCTACATGGCTTGTTTAAGGAGTGTCAGCAGACTTAGTAAGTAGGTACTAAGTAGAGTTATAAGTGCCTTAGGAGGGATCCTGATTGGGGTATAACGTCATTACTTACTAAGCCCCCCGACCCTCCAAGGTTTGACTAGGCATTAAACCTTCAACTAGAGAGGGATCCTTGGGATCCTTAACATGGTTGAAGGTGTGTGTGTATATATATATATGTATGTGTATCTTTATATGTATACATATAGTAGAGAACTTATGGGGACTCTACAATAGAATATGTCTTGGTAGATAATCGAAAGCCCCCAAACCCAGACCCTAAACCCTAAACCTGAACCCTAAACCCTAAACCCTCCCGTCCTGAAGCAAGCGGTCTGTAGAATCGCAGAACTCTGACCAGCCCATGTCTGGCCAGAAGTGATGGAAGGGCACCTCAGTGCTCTAGGAGGGGTTTTGGGTTCCATTTAAGGGATCTATAGGGTTTAGGGTTTAGGGTTTAGTAGAAGGGATCTAGGATACCCAGTAAAGGATTTAGGGTTTAGGGTCTTGAGGTCCTGTAAGGGTTCCTGTAAGGGTTCTATACAGTTTAGGGTTTAGGGTTTATTGAGGCTCTAGGATACCCAGTAACCTAAGAATAAAAAGGCCTCTCTTTTTGGTATTGGGTAACTTTATAAGGAACCTAGGACTACAAAAAGGGAATAAGGGTACTACTGGGCATCCTAGTGCTGGTGTTCTCATCATGGCACTTCCAACCTCTTCAACAGAAAGCCAATGCCGCAAGACGCTGTAATAAGAACCCTAAACCAAACCATAGACCAAAGAAGCAACAGCATTCAAAGGCGCTCGAAAGCCTTGAAGATGTGCGTACTTGGACCCTGAAATCCTCAACCTGAATCCTAAATAAACGGTGTAACACCAGCAGAAGCTTAAGAGACCTTAGAAAAACAACAATAAGCCACGACACTAAGTTAAACCTTGGCAACAACCGAATTCAAAAGCTCATCACCATTACCCTAAACCCTAAACCCTAAACCCCGAAGCCCTAAACCCTAACTCACTATCAGCCGGAGCCACACCGGACGCCGTCTTGAGGCCGGCTTGGAGGACCACTACGCCGATGGCACCAAGGAAGCCTTTAGGGTTTAGGGGTTTAGGGGTTTAGGGTTTAGGGTTTAGGGTTTAGGGTTTAGGGTTTAGGGTTTAGGGTTTAGGGTTTAGGACAGCCCCACACCCCAGGGTAAAGAAAAAGCCTGGTTTAGGGTTTAGGGGTTAGTGTATACAGTCGTGTGACATATTTCATTCCTAAATTAGGGAAGCTTCCTGGAATTATGACACAAGCCCTGAATGTAGCGGGATCTTTCCAAAATCTGGTAAGGGGTAGCGTTTGCTTGAAGGGGCTCGGCATTCGCCAGAACTGCTTTGAGAAAGCGGTTGAACCCTTTAGAAGCGAAGGCGGACCGTCAGGAATGGAATTCTTTACGGTTTGGTGTTTGCGGTTTAGAAATTCGTTAGAGGGAGGTCGTAACTGAAAACGAACCTACAAGGGTACTATTGCTAGACCTAGACACCCCTGATCAAACCCCTATGAAACAGTAAAACAGCAGGATAATGAACTGTGACTCATGATAGAAACGATGTGCAGCCCTTATTACTTGGGCGGCTGTATTTGCCATTGCAACTCGGAAGGGAGCCAGCTATGTTGGGACAATGTGCTTTGAACCATCGCAAACAACGAGCAGCCCACACCAAAATTGCAAAACCGTACATAGCCGGAAAGCCTTGAAGCGTGTGAAGTAGGCCCTAAGCCCTAAACTCTAAATCCTAAAACCTTAAAACTACAAGATCACACTTTTGCCCTAGGCTCAAACGGTGCACAGATCCTGGAGCCCTAAACCATGAGACCTAAACCAAAGCTTCCCAGAGACTCCAACATCCCTTAAACATGAATATACCATGAAATTACAATGGGATCCCTGATATGGTATAAGTAGCATTCCTTAATCAAGGGATATTAGACTCCTCTAAACCCTAAGCCCTGTAGATCCCTTAAAGGATTCTTTAAAGGAGCCCTAGGTCCCTAGGTATTCCTGAGTTCAGGGATAATGGAGTCTCTGGGTTCTGCAACTGAGGAGCCGCTAACCACCGGCTTCGGGATCATGAGCATCGAAGTAGCCCACTGCAACTTGCCAAACCTCAGGGCATAATGTAGGGGTCTGGGCATTTTGGGTTGTGGCTTTAGGTTTCGTCAGAGCTATAGCTGTAGGGGTCTTAATAATTAGAATAGGGTGTTGGGGGTTCCTTATTATAATTGAAGTATACTAGACCCCCTAACCTCAGGGCTTAAAGGCTTACGGGCTTTTTTGAGGCTGTAGCGTTTGGGGTTTAGGGTTTAGTTGGAGTTTAGGGCTGGGAGGCTCATAGGTTTTTAGTCAGGCTTTGGCATTTGAGGTTCAGGGTTTGACTAGGGTTGAGGATATAGGGGTTGTGGGTTGAGGGGCTAGGGGGCTTAGGTGTTCGTGGCCTGAATAAGTAAAACGGACCCAGAAATCTATGCTGAAGTGGGAGTTTCCGAAAATTAGGGGTACGTCCTTATAATAAGGCTCCTACAATTTAGGGTATTATATTAGGGTCCCCTATTTTCGCAAACTCACAAGTGTTATGCTCTTCCTCTTTCCTGGTATGGAACCGTTTAAGGCAGTACTTAAGATACGGCTGGTTATCAAAATTATGGTCCCTTTTTGGGTCCCTAATATAGTACGGCACCCAATAAGCAGGGTACCCAAAAAGGGACCATTCTTTTGACAACCACCCAAATGTGGGACCCAAAGTCATTACATTATAGCTTACCGTACAGGTTTCCTTGAAGGTTGAAGAAACTTGAATGGGGTATATACCGACTCGCCACACTGAGATAATCCTGTATGGGTTTAGGGTTTGGGGTTTAGGGTTTGGGGCTTGGGGACTTTACATAAAGTTTGTTAAGTATGGGTTTCATCATTAACTATAACCTACTCACTAGGTCCCCTGAGCCTTCAAGCAGGCGTGGATGGGTTTAAGGTGCAGTGTTTGGGGTGTTCGGCGCTTCTTCAATATGGGACGGGTCCTGCGGTCATGGACACCCCGGGGTGCATTGAGTTTGCGATTTAGGGTTTAGGGTTTAGGCTGCAAGAGAGTCCCAATCTTCTTTATCGAGGAGGTTAAACAGAGGGCCTAACAGAATAGGGTTTTATGGCTAATAGTACTATAATTATAAAAAGGAGCCCCCCCCACAATAGTAGTATTGGTAATTGTAAAATTCTTGATAAGACATGCAATCATTTTATGCTCCCGCGTGCAGATTAAGGCGTACTGCCAAGTTAAAGGCTGTTGGCGTGTTGAATCTGTGATTCCGGTGCTACGAAGTCTAGAGACGTGAGGGCCTTCTTCATCTCTTCATCTGGGGCCGAATTTTTCACAACTGTATTGCCTACGGTTTGTCGTAGTTTGCTCAAAGAACCCCAACCCGGCAAACTACGGTTGATGATATAAATCCTGCATTACCCATAATAAGGAATATACCATAATTCCCATAGCTTAGGGCCCTTAAGGTAATGCAGGATTTATATCATCACCCTTAAACCTAAACCCTATAGATCCCCTAAAGGAGCCCCTTAAACGTACCCTTATAGATCCCTTTAAAGGAACCCTAGGATTTATATCATCAGCCGTAGTTCAGTTTCTGGGGTTTCGGGTGTCGGTTCACGCAGGGCCTCGGGTCATGAGTTCTATCTTACTTGGAGGGTCGGGGGACTTACGGTTGATGATATAAATCCTGCATTACCTTAAGGACCCTAGACTATGGGAGTTATGGTATACTCCTTATAACGGGTCATGCAGGATTTATACCATCAACCGTAGTATGTAGCTGTTTAAAAGAATTTGTAAGTATCATAAGCCAAAGTAGGATCCCTTTTAGGGTACATATACCTCTACTGATTACCTACTTACCAAGTCCCCCGACCCTCCAAGTGAGGTGTCCAGCGCAGGTCGGGGCTCGGTGACATTGATAATTTCATAGAGGTTTGCGGGTACACTGTACTAAAACCCTGTACCCACACCCCCGGGAGGATCCAAAAAGTAGATCCCTCAATGGGGGTTCCCTTAGTAGTGTAGGCCCCCAAATTAGGGGATCTACTTTCTAGATCCTCCCGGGGGTCTGGGTAGGGGCTGTAAGGGACATTGCTTAAATTTTTCAATTCCTCAGACTCGGCCCTAAGACCATAAACATATAGAACCTGAACCTTTGACCTGAAAGCCTGAACCCTAAACGACGAAGCTTAAACCCTAAACCACCTAAACTTTAGCATAGGACCCCTGATCCTAAGCCTCAGCAGGCGCTGAAGTACTTCCGGAAAAAAGGCGTGAATCGACTTCCAATGGCTCTTGCGGCGGGAAAAGGAGCCACCCAAAGAGACCAATACCGCTTAAGTAAGAAGTATAGCACAAGTCACATCTGAAGCCCCATACAAGTTAGGGTATATTCCTAAACCCTCAACCCTTCATTGTGAGGGGTATTGGGCTCTCTGGGCACTCATTGACCCTGAGCCCCATGGCCCCACTCTAAAAGGCCCTAACATAGTGGGCTCAACGAGGAGAATGGGGGCTTCGGGACTTTTGGGACATATCCTACGGTTGATGATATAAATCCTGCATGACCTTAAGGACCCTAAGCTATGGGAATTATGGTATATTCCTTATTATGGGTAATGCAGGATTTATACCATCAACCGTAGTATGTTCATGTGGGTGGTTGTCAAAGCAAGGGTCCCATTTTGGGTCCCTATTATAATACGGCACCCATTATTTAGGATACCCCAGAAAGGGACCCTAATTTTGACAACCACCCATATTAGATGCAGGAATCCTAAAGAACTGTATGCATCACTTTTCAGACTTCTAAACAAAGTCCAAGCTCCCCGAGTCCTAAACCCTATCGGACTGATCCCTGTAATCTAAGCTCCCCTTTTTGAACCCTTCTAGATCCCTTCAAGGAACCCTTAGGGTACACTCCTCAATTACTTAAAGGCTCATGGGACGTAGTAAGCAAGGTTGCAGGGAGGTTGTAATTAGGATTACCCACTTAGGGGACTTGTAACCACCATTATCACCCACTTGCCATGATCCTTGAGTGAACCTAAACTCCGCCTTATATTATAAACCCCTTACTATAGATCCCTTAAAGGAACCCTAGTTACTAAGTCCTCCGACCCTCCAAGCAGCACGTTGAATCAGCCGAAGGTACAGAATACTAACCAATCCGCTCAAGATGGAGGAAGTGCAAATGATGGCAAACACCTCTGCGGGTTAGGAGAGTCATTGATACTTAAAGGATCATGGGGTTTAGTAAGTAGGGGTCTGATAATTGGGGTTCTTAGTGCCCTATAAGTGAGCTTATACTAATACCTCTGCGGTTTAGGAGGGTTTAAGGTTTAGGGTTTAGGGAGGGTTTAGTGTTACTTACAGGATCATGGGGCTTAGTAAGTATGGGTCTGATAGTTGGCCCTAAGTGGGCTTATACTAATACCTCTGCGGTTTAGGAGGGTTTAGGGTTTAGGGAGGGTTTGGTGTTACTTAAAGGATCATGGGATTTAGTGAGTAGCTGTCTGAGAATTGGGGTTATTAGTCCCCTGAGTGGGTTTATCCTGATTATAACCTACGTATCATCTGACTTACTACGTCCCATGAGCCTTTAAGAACACCCGAAACCCTAAACCCTAAAGCCCTAAAGCTCTAAACCCTAAACCCTAAACCCTATTGTAGACCTTTAAGAACTCCCGAAACCCCAAACCCTCAAGCCCTAAAGCCCTACAGCCCTAAACCCTATTATAGACCCCTAAAGGACCCTTAAAAGGAAGGCAGCGTCAGGGCTGAGGAGTTTATAGGGTGAAGAGTCAAGGTTGGATACTGCCGCCATACAGTAAGAGTCCATAATACTGTTGACCCAATCCTGCATGACCCTACAGGCTCTAGACTATGGGAATTATGGCATATTCCTTATAATGGGTAATGCAGGATTTTGTCCATCAGCAGTAGGGCTACTTTGGGCTTAGGGGTTTAGGGGTTTAGGGCTTTAGGGGTTTAGGGTTTTGGGCTTTAGGGTTTAGGGCTTTAGGGTTTAGGGGTTTAGGGTTTAGGGTATACCTTAGGTACTGCCCCCATACAGTAACAGTCCACAATAGGGCTACTATTAAGGGCCTAATATCTATATTATGAATATTTTCCAACTGTTACTGAGTGGGGGCAGTATCCAAAGTCAAGGCGTAATGATTGGAACAGGGTTTTGGTGTATGTTGTGGAACAACTATACCGAGGAAACCTAAGATGTGATGCTTGAAATCAAGCAGGTGGGCGCTTCTATGGGAGTCTCAAACCTCTCAGCAGCTGCTCGGAAAACTCTATGAATCCCAAAATGCGCCGAAGTTCTAGCAATACCTGGACCTGTAGTTGTCTAAACTTGCGACGAGGACACCTGACAGCAGGGTAAACCTATCAAGCGCTGCTGGCGTCTCTTGAAACCTTCCTTCCTTACGGACGAAACGAACCCTAAAAGGGTTTAGGGTTCATATACCATATAGGGATTCATAGTTTATGGGTATAGGGCCCCTACTTTTAAGGGTCATTTGGTCCTTCAGGTTGCCATAACTGGCAGATGCTCAACCTGGTCTGAACTCTGAAGTAGGTAAGCTTATGTCATTTAGGATTTAGGGTTGGGTTCATGGTCTGTTCATGGTCTAGAGTCTACAAGTCATAAACTCTACGCCGCACGCTCACCCTATCCCTTCCACGCCCAGGCTGTAAATCATCAACCCCAAACCCTAAAAGCGTCAGTACATCCTTGGCAGATCCTTACAAAAGCTCACAAAGCCCTCCAGCCAAGCCTAAACCCAGCATCAGCAGAATCCGTCGCCCATCAAAAACCACGAGCAATCCTTTAAGATGCCTCTAACTCCTTGTCAAAGCTCCGATGTATCCCCCGAACCCTAAACCCTAAACTGGGCTCTTGTTAAGGAAACTAGTTTAAGATACCAGAATGAGTAAATGATATGATTTCTTATTACGCCGTAGCTTAATGTGTACTAATTCCTTAACAAGAACCCAGTTAAACACAAAAAAAGAATCTGTCGGGCGGCCGTCGCCGGAATCTTCTCCGGCGTGGCCTTGAGCCGCATCGCCGCTTTTGAAGCAAGCTGGGCCTGGCTGAGGCTGGCCTTTTCCTTACCTTTGGCTAGTAGGGAATTAGAACAGGGTTCCTTTAAAGGGGTCCATAAGGGCTACTATGACTACCATAAGGGTTAGCTTTGGTTAGTAGGGAATGGAAGAATGGCAGTAATAGTAGTTATAGTTGTACCCCGTTCCTCCATTCCCTACTAGCCAAATAGATAAGTTTCTTGAATATCATCATTCTTAGGGGCTGAATACCCTAGCCCAAACAAGGTTAACCTTTTCAGTTATGGAAGCGTTAACTAAACCACAAAAGGTTAAAGGTTACGTACTCAACTACTAAACAAGTAAGCTGTTGTTTATGGCTGTTTCCTTAGAATACAAGTTTTTGTCATTCAGGCGTTTGGGTTTATGGCTGTTTATGAGGATCCAGGTTCTTTTAGAGGGTGTTGGCTTTTAATTATGAAGGCTCCTATGAGGCGTTTTAGAGTTGCAGCGTTCAGGCTTCGTTTTTGGTGAAACTTATTATAGTTTATGGCTGTAGCTGTTGTTAAGGTGTTTGTATGTAGAGAGTTAATGATTTTCGCTTCTGCTGTTGGACTTTCTGCTGAAGGTGTTCGTAGCTGTTTGGGCGTAAAGGCTTAGGTCGAAGGGTTGCTATTCCAGTTGTTCCCAGGCTGCTAGTGTAGGGTCCTCAATCATTAGAATATGGTTTTGGGGTTCATTATACCATAATCAGAGAAGGAACGCCCAGAATAGTATTATAGGGTTCTTATGGCTGCAGTAGAAGCAAGGAGAAAAAAGCGGCTTTTAACCCTAAACCTTACTGCGAATCGGAAATCCTCAACCCCGAAACTCCGTGACGCCCAAAAGCCTCGTACAACCTCTTATCTAATTCTACGTTGGGTACTGCCCTCATACAGTACAGTAACGGTGCTAATAACAGCCTTATAGATCAAGATTTGAAACCTAATCCGAGTGTTTATGGCTGGACACAGTATCCAACTTACAGAACCATACAAGCTCTTGTAGAATTTGGAGAGACCGACCAACCCTAAACCCTAAACCCCTGAGCCCTAAACCTCAAACCCTAAACCCTAAGCCCTAAACGGTATAGTTGAATGTAGCATAGTATAGTACAGCTATAGCAAAGTAACGTACAGTATAGTGTAGTATAATCTGGTATAGTATAGTATAGTACAGTCTAACACAGTATTAGTCAAGTATACTCTAGCATAGAACAGTAGAAAACCAGTCATGTCAATCCCCTTCGTCTTTGACGTGGGCTCGGGATCAGGGCGTCCCAGAGCCTCCAAAACCCTTGAAGGAATATACCATAAATTATGGTAGGCTCCCTGCGCAATAAGAACTAAGGAATATTCCTTAATTAAGGGGCTTTGGAAGGTCTGGTCTTGACAAACGCCAGGAGGTCCACCGCTGCAGCATTCGCGACAGGTCTTCCAGTTCAGTTTGATGGTCCTTTATAACATTATATCATTATATTATACTGAACCTAGACCCCTTTAGACCCCTAGCAAAAAACATACTTTTAGCTGTTTCTTAGGGATTGTAATATCCAAAGATTAAAAGTTAATTCTAAGTACCCCTAAGTATCTTTGTAATATGTAGACTATACTAGACTAAGACTATACTGGACTAGGCTGTACACTACACCATGCTATACCACACTATACTATACTGTATTAGACTATACTTCCTAATACTATTCTCACACTATCTCAGCATCGGAGCCTTCGCGATCTCGATGCTTAAACAATAAACGACCTTGAAGACGAAAAGAGCAGTAAAAGGGTCTTTGAAGGTTCATATACCATGGTTTAAGCTTAGGGTTTAGGGCCTTGGGTTGAGGGTTTTGGTTTAAGGTGCAGTTACCGACAAGGGATTCATAGTAGGGCGTGGGGCTGTTCCCTGTATACGCCTGTCAAACTTCGTAGTAGACGAGGTATACCATATACATGGGGATGTATGGTATAAGGGTGTAGGTCCCATACTTTTACGGACCATTTCGGAGTTTGAGAATATAGTGGAACCTCATATAGTAGCCTAAATAGTCGGATCCTTATGAGGAACCCCAAGACAAGGTACCCCTAATTATCGGAAAATCCCATTTGGTCCTTAAGGGACCTCCCCACAACTCAAAGAGCACGTCGTAGAAGGATTGGAACCCAAGCTCCTTAGTATGGGGGGCCTTAATAATCAGAATGTTTTGGGGCCCATTATACTACTGTTACAATAAGGAACCACCAAAATAGTACAGGTTAGGGCCCCAAAAAAGCACATACGCAAAAACGAGGGTAGAGATATCCCATATAAACCCCCTAAAAGGAAGGCCAAGAAGGTAGGGATATCCCCATAAGATGCTTATGCTTATGTGCTTCTTGGGTCCCTAAGTAGAGGTCCTTAAGCGACTCCTTAAAGGGATCCTTAAAGGGATCTATAAGGCTTCTATAAGGAGGGTCGGGGGACTTAGTAAGCAAATAGTAAGTAGACGTATAAGTACCCCAAAACGGATCCTAAATGGGGTTATGACACGTTTAAGTCTACTTGCTATCTACATGCAAAGTCCCCCGACCCTCCAAGTACAGCATAGTAAAACGCGTAGTATACTCAAAAGGGGACTTTTCGGTGGCATTCTTAGTAATCCCCTAAGGGTCCATGTACCCATATAGCATATACGCACAATGTACCTATATAGGGGGTTACTTTAAGGCCAATGCATATACTATATGAGTACATGGACCCTTAGTAATCATTCCGCCCCCGCATCATATTTGAGGGCGCCTGGAGGATGCAGATCAGATCCTGCTGGGTGCCGTAGCCGTACCTTGTGAGTTTAGTTTCTGTTGATGATATACATCCTAGGGCTCCTTTAAAGGGATCTATAAGGGTACCTTTCAGGGGCTTCTTTCAGGGATCTATAGGGTTTAGAGTTTGGGTTGATGATAAAGATCCTGCATTACCTTAAGGACCCTAAGCTATGGGAACTATGGTAGATTCCTTTTCAAGGGTAATGCAGGATTTATATCATCAACCGTTAGCAATCTAGGCTGTGCTTTTAAAGCCTTTGAAAAATATTAGTAGGCAAGATCCTCGTAAGCCCAATAAGAGCGAATACAAAATGCCCCAAAGCACTACCTAGACCCTGAACCCTAAACCCTAAACCGTCTAGTAATTTGGGGTTGTGGGTTACTTAAGGGCTCCGAGATGAGCATGAAGGCCACAGCGCGCTAGGGTTTCGGGGTCTTGCTTTGGGAATGAGGGCCCCTAGACTTCCTAGACTTTCATAGGGTTTTCTATGTTTTCTAAAATGGTTTATACAGGCTGAATATGGGCTCTGAAACGGCTTGAACCTTAAATTAGGAACATAATACAGGGGCCTGGATAATTACCAATACTTTTTTGGGGGTTCCTTGTCACAATAATGGGACACAAAACCGTATTCTAAAACAATAAAGGCCCCTATATTCCTACGTCCAATGCTCCAAAGCCGAGGCCCTGTATACTGTGAGGCAGGCAAAATCCGTAGTCAAGCGGGTCGGTGTGTTGGGCTCTGGGAGCAAACCCGACACAATTATCTTAGGGGAACCAAAAGTAAACCTTTGCATAGTACCCAACAAGGTTCATCAAAAACTCAAGGCTCTAAAGGTCACCTGTTCTACTGCTAAGTTGTCAAGACCCAGGAATGCACAGAATCACCGACAGTTGGCTCGTGCGACTGCCAAAAAACACCGACATACTGACGAACAGATCCCTTGCATATTATCCGTGCTACTCTTGATAAGGACTGGTGCAACAGTCTTTGATTCAGGAAAATTGAGGTCTCTGGGCCAAGAACTTGCTGTTGAATATTTGCTGGGTGGCCTTGGAACCCCAACGCCCTAAGACCCCAAACCCTACATCCTGAACAGAAAAACCGTAAAACCATCAACACCCCCAAACCCTAGACGCTAAACCCTATAGATCCCTCAAAGGAACCCTTCACGGAACCCTTCAAGGAACCCCCAAAACCCAAGCTTTCGCACCCCAGAGCCAACCTGAAGGACCAAATGACCCTTAAAAGTAGGGGCCCTATACCCTGATACTATGAAGCCCTATATGGTATATGAACCTTAAACCCTTGTAGGGCTCTTTTCGTCCTTAAACCCTAAAATCTACAAGAACCCATAACAACCCGTATAGGAACCCTTTAAAGGAACCCGAAAATGAACCTTAAACCCTTTTAGGGCTCACTTCGTCTTTAAGGCTTCGCCCTAAACCCTAAACCCCTAAACCCTAAACCTCTAAACCCTAAACCCGAAACCCAAAATCTCTAAACCCTAAACCCCCCTTCCCTCCCTTCCCTCACTTCGTCTTTAAGGAAGGAGCTGGAGGCGGCCGAAGACGGCGTACCAAAGCACCCCGACACTCCTGGGCTCCGGGCTCTTCAGGGGCTTTAGGGTTCCTTTAAGGGTTCCTTTCAGGGATCTATAGGGTTTAGGGTTTAGGGGTTTAGGGCTCCTTCAAGGGTTCGGGGTTTGGGGTTCCTTTAAGGGTTCCTTTCAGGGATCTTATGGGGTTTAGGGCTTTAGGGTTTAGGCATCTTCAGGGGTTCTAGTAAGTAAAGGGCTTACCGGTCCCTTTTAAGGGTACTATAGGGTTCTAGAATTAAAGGTTTGCTTTTAGGCACCTTTTTCCATCTGCAGAGAGCCTCTCTACGAAGGAAGCCTTATCTTGAAGGATTAAGGGGTTTAGGGGTTAGGGCTTTCGGGCTTTAGTCCTTTGTTTAAATGTGCAATGACTCTTTCTCCGCTCCACGCACGTAGAGCGGGTCCCAAGCCCGCCTCAGAACGGCCTACACAGGGGGAAAAAGGGTTTAGGGTTTGGGCTTTAGTCTAAAAAGCACCCCGACACTCCTGGGCCCCGGTCGCTTCAGGGGTTCCAGGGCTCTGAAGCATGTGACTTAGTAAGTCGGGTTTAGGGTTCCTTTTAAGGGTACTATAGGGTTCTATATAGGGTTCCCTTTAGGGGGTTGGGCTTTAAGGGTGCTATAGGGTTCTATGATGGGGTTCTCTTTAGGGTTGAGCTTTAGGGTTTACTTACAGGCGACGCTCCTGGGCCTTTAGGGGTTTTAGAGTTTAGGGTCTTGGGGGTTTAGGGCGTAGGGTTTTAGGGTTTAGGGTTTGCAGGGTTTTGGGGTTTTAGGGTTTACAGTAGAAGCCAGAAAGTTGGAATATCATTATCCTAAACCCTTTATGGTAAATTATAAGGTATCCTACCCTGAAACCATATTCCAACTTTCTGGAGTTCCCTTTATTTATAGGGTTCTATGATAGGGTTCCCTTTAGGGGATTGGGCTTTCGGGTTTACTTACAGGCGACGCTCCTGGGCCTTTAGGGGTTTTAGAGTTTAGGGTCTTGGGGGTTTAGGGCGTAGGGTTTTAGGGTTTAGGGTTTGCGGGGTTTTGGGGTTTTAGGGTTTACAGTAGAAGCCAGAAAGTTGGAATATCATTATCCTAAACCCTTTATGGTAAATTATAAGGTATCCTACCCTGAAACCATATTCCAACTTTCTGGAGTTCACTTTATTTATAGGGTTCTATGATAGGGTTCCCTTTAGGGGATTGGGCTTTAGGGTTTGCTTACAGGCGACGCTCCGGGGCTCTTTAGGGGCTTTAGAGTTTAGGGTCTTGGGGGTTTAGGGCGTAGGGTTTTAGGGTCTAGGGTTTCCAGGGTTTTGGGGTTTTAGGGTTTACAGTAGAAGCCAGAAAGTTGGAATATCATTATCGTAACCCCTTTAAGGTGAATTATAAGGGATCCTACCATTAATCCATATTCCAACTTTCTGGAGTTCCCTTTATGGCCCTGGGCTATTCAGGTGTTTTAGGCTTCTTACGGAACTAGCTTGGCCCCTTAAGGCCTCTGAAAGATATTCATAAAATAAGGTCCTTTTAAGCCCAATAAGGGAAAAATATAAAATGTCCCAAAGGCCTACCTAGTCTATATGAGCTACCCTCAAACCCTAACCCTAAACCCTAACCCTAAACCCTAAACCCTAAACCCTAACCCTAAACCCTAGGGAATCTTAGACTTCTTAAGGGGCTTAAGGATGTTGGAGGGCTTTCCGTTCTTTCAGGGGATCTAGGGTTCTTTTAAGGGTTTTAGGGTTCTTTACGGGTTTTAGGGTTCTTTAAGGGGTGCTAGGGTTCTTTAAGGGGTGTTAGGGTTTAGGGTTTATTGACGGTTTACGGTTTTCGGGTCTATTTAGGTTTAGGGCCTAGGGCTTATTTACGGTTTAGGCTTCTTTAAGGGGCTTGATGGTTTGACACGGCTCCTTTTCGGCTCAATCATCGTTGTTTTAGGATTCCTATGCACCCAGACCCCCGGGAGCATCCTAAAAGTAGATTCCTTAATGGGCGATAGGGCCCCAAATTAGGGGATCTACTTTCCAGATCCTCCCGGGTGTCTGGGCAGGCTTAGGTGCCAGCACCAAGGACGCACAGTAGTCAACTGGACCCTCAACCCTAAACTCCAGACTTTCAACCCCGAATTCTAGCACTTTTTGACACCCTTTACCTTCTCAGACACCGGTGGTCCAGGCGTGTAGACTTTAGGCTCCTGTATGCTAACAACATACCAGACCGCGATCTCAACCTCAACAACCTAGTTCCAACGTATCCCCTTGCGAAAAGGGATTCTTGTTTGCTACTGTTCAGTGTCTAAGGGGAGCCCCAGGACAAGCAATGAGACAAGTGCACAACTGATTGGCAAACTATATAGTGCCTCATAGTGCCTCAACCATGGGTACACAAAAACAACATATGGAAGGGAACCGGCACGGTACACAACTAATACATGTTTAAGCGAGGCGTAGGCTGGCAGAGCCATGTAATTTCTTCCAGAGAGCATGGTGTAGAGGGTCATGCTGATCCCGAACCTGGGTGTCCAGGTTTACTTATCGGTTTGCAGTGTACTACAAACTGTGTGCCTGGCCCAAACTGGTATAGATTCGCAGGGTATGGTTTTCTAGGTTTCAAGTAGGATCTAAGTGCAAATCTGCTTAGATAAGTAGCCTGAGCCTCCAAGTCAGGGGTCAATGTCAATCCATTGTATAGGGCCCCAAAAAAGCACATAAGCAAAATTTAGGATAGAGATAAATCCCCTTATACTGAAGCCCAATAAGGTAGGGATATCCCCATAAAACGCTTATGCTTATCTGCCTTTTGGATCCCTAATTGTACATGGAGCAAAGCTGCTCCGTGCTGGAGTGCCAGCTTTTCAAGCTTGCTTGTCCAGTATTCTAGGGGAACCAAAAGTTAACCTCTGGGGTTAGATAGGCATTGTAGCACCCCAATAACGGTTCAAGGTGGCTCTACTACTAGGCTAGACAAGTAGGAAGTGTTCCAAATCTCTACCTAAATACACAAGGGGCTTAGCAAGTGAGGTTGAAACTAAATTTGTAGTTAGCATAACCCCGCTTGGGGGACTTATAACCCCAGTTATAACCATTATAACCTACTTACTAAGTCCCCTGAGCCTTGAAGCAGGTCCAACACCCTGACACCAACCGCTGAGGAGCTTCAGCCACTCTTCCTAGTGACAGTGGCCTAAATCCCTTAAACACCCAGCCTAAACCCTAAACAGTACCCACTGGGCCAGACAAGTACTTAAGGCATCAGGAGGCTTAATAAGTGGGGTTCTATTTGGCGTTGTAAGTCCTCCAAGGTGGGGCTATCCTAGTTACCAGATTACTAACGCGTGACTGATGGCGTCGCTGGAGCCTTTAAGCAGATTCGACATTTGAGGCACGCTTGCTCAAGTTATGACATGTGCAGAAACTACTAGAGAAGAACGGCTAGATTTAAAGGCGGATGCGTGTAATGAAGACTCTAAACCCTAAACCCTAAACATAAAACACCCTAAACCTTTAATTAAACCTTGAACCCGAAGCCCTCAACCCTAAAGGCGTGAAGATGTGTAGTTCTCCAAGTCACGGTCCTTTTAGTGTCCTACAAGAAGACCCTGCTTTGCAGATCTTGCCATATTAGGACTTAATATGTCCAGATTCCTAATATACTCCTTCTTCTGGTAAAGGGATCTATAAACCAGTGGTCTACATCACACCTTGGCGGTGGTGCAGTATGTTCTGAGCCGTGCCCTCAAAACATGTAACGATAAACCTAAACGCTCGGGTTTAGGGTTTCCGGGTTTTTGGCTTTAGGGGTACTCCTCAATCAGAGTCGAGACCCTACACCCCGCACCCTGGACCCATAGAACGTTCCAAGCAATCCTAAAACATAAGGAGTCAAGTACCACCCATACTCCAAAGCCCCCGGAAATCCTCTGAACCCCCGTGGACGAAGCCCCACAATCCTCAACATCTAAAATCCCCACTTGGGCCCTGAGCTTTGCACTCTCTCCCTGAACCCTAAATCCTATCCCTAAACCCTAAACCCCCAACTCTCAACCCTAAATCCTCAACCCTGAACCCCAAGCCCTACGGTTGATGATATAAACCCTGCATTAGCCATAATAGGGAATCTATGGGAATTACGGTATATTCCTTATTATGGGTCATGCAACATTTATGTCATCAACCGTATGACCACAAACCCTAAACCATTAACGGCACACTGTACCTGTAAAGGAACCCTTCAGAAGGAAGCCTAAACCCAAAGCCCTTAAAGGAACCCTTCAAAAGGAAGCCTATATCCTACTTAGAAGCTTATGGGACGTAGTAAGTAAGGTTACAAGTATGCCATAATTAGGATAAACCCACTTAAGGGACTTATAACCCCGGTTATGACCTACTTACCGAGTCCCATGATCCTTTCAGCAACCTAAAGTCGCCCTTATAGAATCTTTACAGATCCCTTAAAGGAGCCCTTTAAGGAACCCTGCTTACTAAGTCCCATGATCCTTGACCCCTAAACCCTAAACCCAACCCCCCTAAACCCTCAACCCTAAAACCCTAAACCAGAACCTCTACACTCCCTTAACCTTGAACCCCAGTACACCCAGCAGAACCCTTAGAGGAACAATTTAAGGAACCCTCCTCTGATCCTTTACCCAAACCCTAAACCCTCCCCCCTAAACCCTCAACCCTAAACCCGAAACCCTAAACTCGAAACCCCAGCACGCCCAGCAGCTGCAGCATAGAAGAGATCTCCTAAACCCTAAACCCTAAACCCCGAACCCCTAAACCCCTAAACCCTAAACCCGAAACCCTAAACTCGAAACCCCAGCACGCCCAGCAGCTGCAGCATGGATGAGATCTCCGGGTTATCCGAAGACGAGAAGACCATGGAGGCAGAAACGATGCCACCCAGGGCTTCCCGAACACCTGGGCTAACGTAGGAACCCTAAACGCATCGTATTAGGGTTCCTTTAAAGGGGTCTATAAGGGTTACCACAAGGGATCTATAAGGGTACTATAGTAATTAGAGCTCCGGGTTCGATTGAAGGAACCCTAAAAGGATCCATCGGGTTCAAGGTTTGGGGGCTTGGGATTTGGGGTTCAGGCTTTTTTGTTTTAAGAGACTGCTCCAGCGAAAGCCTCTTTGAGCCGAGCTCCCCACACATCACTACTCAAAGTGGCACATGTCACCCTGCAAGAGTTTAGGGATTAGGGTCGGGGGTTTAGGGTTTAGGGTTGAGGGTTGAGGGTTCCTTTGGAAACAACCCTTAAGGAACCATCTGGTACCCTTCACGGAACCCTTAGACGAACCCTTAAGGTGGCCTTCAGGGTCTTTAGGTGTGCCTGCAAGGGTTCCTGCACGGGCTCCGTGGTCCTTCTAGCTTGCATAAGGGTCTATAACGGTTCAGGGGTTTGGAGTTTAGGCTTTGTTCGTTTAGGGTGTAAGGGTCGGAGTTTTGGGTTCAGAGCATTGGGTTCCGGTTTTATGAAATATCAGTTGTTGGAAAAAGCTTGATTCCTGCTTAGCATGTACTCTCTTTCTGGGGTCTGCTCTTTCTGAGGCCTGGCGGCAAATGGGAGTTTCCGAAGTCCCCTGACATAGCACCCTAAATAGTATGATCCTTCTTATAAGGACCCCCAGATAAGGTACCCTAATTTTCGGAAACTAAACCCTAAACCCTAAACCCTAAACCGTGGCTCTGGGTTTAGGTCTTTGGGTTCGGGGCTTCAGGATTCAAGGGGCAACGGGGCTTAGTGGCTCAGTGCCTTGCTTAGCGCCCGCGGCGGCATTAACGACAAGTCCTTCCGATGGTATTAAGGTCTTGTGGTTGGCCTTGATGTAGTTTTCGTTACGGAACCCTCTAGAATCTGGGTGGCTTTCAAAATCAGGGTTTGGGATGTCAGGTGTTGCTGTGTCTGATCCAAGTCGGCTCAGCCTTTTTCGGTTTTAAGGCCTCATCATCGCGGGCTTAGCCCTGAACCTTAGTCTCTTACACCGCGTGCCTCTTCGGATTTGATCGCTCTGAGCTCATTTCCGGTTTGCCGGGGTATGTTTCCAGAACCTAATGCATCCTAATCCGTAAGGCCTGTTAACCTAATTAAGTCCGAACCCTAATTACTCCAAATACGGACAACTAGAAGACTACAGTCAGATCTAAAGATTCTGTAGTCCTGACTCGAAGGCTCATGGAGCATGGTAAGGCATAACTTAAAGGCACCACCAACAAGTCTGCGTAGCTCTTATAGCACTGTCCTTTTTGTCGTTATACTAGAAGATGCCCCGAAAACCCGGCCTCCATGTGAAACGAGAGATCCTGGTATAAACTCGCATACAGTAGAAGCCAAAAAGTCTGAACGTCAGGATTCCTATGCCGTGTACGTAGCATAAAGGCATCAAAGTATAGGGAGTTCTCTTACGGATCATCTTCAACCCATGTTCCCACTTTGGGGAAATCTTTGTACAACTGACTTACTACATCATAAGGATCCCTAGAGGGGTGATAGGGGACTGTACTTCCTAAAACAAGCCTTTAAAGCCCTGATGAGCCTTCTTCAGGGTTTTGAGTGAAGCCCGCTTAAACCCTCTAAGGGTCCGTATACTACTTCCCATAAGCCTGCAAGCATGACAGCAAATGGTACGCATAAAAAAAACGTGAAAACAGCCATCAGGGTCCATGAGCCTACACAGACTCCACTTAGGCCTGAAAGAAGTTCCTATTTTGGCTACTTTCTGGCTAACGTATATGCTTGAGGCATATCATGGTACTAAGACCTACTAAGACCCCCTTCTAACAGTCAACTTTCCAAACGTTTTAGACACTAAGCACCATGACGAAATCCCAAAAGTTTAGGTCCTAAAAGGTCCCACTCTCAGACGAGTCTCCCATGATGAGTCCAGCCGTGACATTTACGCCCACCTGGATAAGCCGAAACCTAAACCCTAGGGCTTGCGGGTCAGGCTTTGTGGGTTTTGAGAGATACTTAGAGGATCATGGGACTTAGTAAGTAGGGTTATAAGTAGATTGTAGTTAGGATAACCCCACTTAGGGGACTTATAACCCCAATTATAACCTAATTACTTACTAAGTCCCATGATCCTCCAAGTAGGCTTTGGGTTTCCTGGACCTTGGGATTCGGGGCTTGAGGTTTAGGACAAAAGTGAGCACAGTGTCCGTCCTTAATTCGTAGGGCCAGAAAAGCTTTCGAGTTCCATATGGCCGTACTTCTCACGTAATGTGGTGGCCACAATGATTGGAATAGGATTTTGGCGGTTCCTTGCTATGAGCATATCATAATATACCCCCCGAGCCTATTCTAATTACTAAAGCCCCTACAACAGACCTCCCTAAACCCTTAACCCCAAAAGACGCCGGCACTTTTGAAACAGTGAGCTCTAGGCTTCAGACCAAACTTTCGCGTCTTGAAGCCGATCTCTTAGACTTATGGGAGCCCACATAAGTTCGACGGGGCTTAGGGTTAAGGGGCCTAGGGATTTAGGCCTTAAGGTGTGAGGGATTAGAGTCTAGGATTCGCTGTAAACTGTAAACCCCAAACTCTAAACCCTAAACCCAATGATCACAGAACTGAGCCCTGACCGCTAAGCCGACTTCAAATTAAAACCCAAAGGTATGTGAACGCTCGGCCCTAAAAAGAATCAGCCAAAACTCGAAACTCCCAATTCGAAGCCCACAGCCAGCAACTCTGAATGCCTGTTGAACCAAAAACACCACATCACACATTTTATATGGAGCCCAAACCCAAAGCCAAACCCTAAAACCCTAAACAAAAACCGGGTCAAACCTGTGAAGCCCGAAGAACCCCTCAACTCAGACCACATCTACTCCTAACTAGGCCCCAGCTACCCATTCTTGCTGAATCCACGTCTCCATTGAAGATACCGCGGGGGTTTAGAGTTTAGCTAAGGTCGATCCTATAATCCTTGAACCTCAAACCCAAACCCGAAGAAACTAAAAGAGTCAAGACTTGGAAGGCAGGTTAGTTGCAACCTGGACATCCCAACCTTGGGGTAGCTACACTCTCAATTATAAACTGCCGACTAAGCCCCCTGATCCTACTTAGTAGACCCTCAAAAACTCTGAAATCAATGAAGTTCTAAACCTAGGCCCCAGAAGAACGAGACTCATAGACACTTGAACAACATAGGGGCCTCATAATTAGAATAGGGTTCTGGGGTTTCTTGTACTACAATTAATAAGGAACCCCGAAATATTGTTGCTAAATGATCTAAGCCTCTTAAAGAACGTCCCAGTTGCTGCGCCCCAGTCAGGAGCACCCCGACTGTGGTCACGGCCCTGAAGGATACGGACTTCACAGGGCGTTATGCCTTAGCGCCACAGAGAGCCCAACACCCATTAAGGAACATACCCTAAATGGTAAGGGGCTTCATATTATGATTTAGAGCCCAATACCCCTTAAGGAATAGACCCTAAATGGTAAGGGGCTTCATATTATGATTTAAGCTATATCATTTAGATTGGTGAAGGGGTCTTGGGGGCTGAGGGTGCATGGGGTTTAGGGCTTTCGGGGTTTAGGGTTTAGGGCCTACAAAGCCTTTTCCCTAAGGCCTGACCCATATATAAGGCTTCTTAGCAGCTATGCAAGGCCCTACAAGGTTCTATAACTGTCGAGATGGTGCAAAGTACAAACTATCGAGTCGTTCTGGGGATTTGCGGATTTCGGTATAGTGTTGATGGCTTGCTGCCTCTAGACTCTTGATCACCTGGGTCTCGGTTTCAGATAGTTGTAGTACTTAGCGCATCATGGGACTTAGTAAGTAGGTTATAATTGGGGTTAAAAGTCCCCTAAGTGGGGTTATCCGAATGATAACCTACTTATAGCCTCACTTACTAAGTCCCATGAGCCTTCAAGTAGTCCGACTCTCCGGAAGGAACCAAAGGCCATGTCTTCTGCGAGACTCCCCGCAGAAAGCCACACGTCAAACCCTATATCCCAAACCCCAACACTCGGCCTGACTTTCCGAAGAGCTGAAACGTATCAATTAGCAATACCATCGTGCGTTCCTTGAGAAGAAACTCTTCAGAACCAAAGAAGCAAAAAGGTGGGCAAACATAAACATGTTGTTTTAGAGATCACTGCACAAGACCCAGAAAGAATCCCATCAATAAACCTTACAATTGACAGTTTGGCGTGCAGAATCTACGTAGCGTCGGAGTTTCAGACCATGCCAAAAATTCCAAAAGGCCCAATACAGTAAGGTGCTTGGGCTTTTATGGTTTTGGCTACTTTTTCGGCGCATCTATGGGTGGTTGTCGAAATGATGGCCCCTTTTTGGATGCCCTAAATGTTGGGTGCCGTATTATAATAAGGACCCAAAAAAGGGGCCCTAATATTGACAGCCACCCCTATGATGGTGAGGTATCCCGGACCCTAGGTTGCAGGTCCTTCAAGAAAGGATCTTGTTCCTTACTAGTCTTGGCTGATTTCTGAACCCCTCCTAAAAGGTAAAATTTTAGCCTCCTTCTTATGGTTCTGTTATTATTCTTATTACTAGCATTATTGTTATTTATGATAATATTATTATACATAGTTCACATAGACGCCCAAAAAGTTAGAGTCCTAAGAGCCAACCAGAAGAACGCCAAGTAGTTGTTTATTAGGGTTTAGCGTGCAGAGGTTTAGGGTTTAGGGATGTTTAGGATTCTGACTTTCTGAAACTACTAAACCCTAAACCCTAAACCCTAAACCCTAAACCCGAAACCCTACCAAAGGAATCCTCACTGGCCCAAAACCCAAGGAAATAAAAGTTGAAACTTTCAGAATCGACTACTAGGATACCCAGTAACCTAAGAATAGAAAGGCCTCTCTTTTTGGTATTGGGTAACTTTATAAGGAACCTAGGACTACAAA